AAAATTATTTCAAACATTAGCTGTGGTAAGCACATGGTAATGTATTTGCGACTTGTGGGGAAGATATAATCATAAGATTGTGGAGCAAAGAAGGAGAAAGTTGGATGGTAAAAACTGTTCTTGTTGATGGACACCAGAGAACAATTAGAGAAGTTGCCTTTCCTTTTATTATTATTATCTTCACATTTGATAAGACGGGTAAAAGATTGGCTACCTGCAGTGATGACAAGACTGTTAATATTTGGTCTACCGGAAAGTTCTGTCCGTTTTTTGAATAAAATAAAATACTTTTTTTTCTTACTATTACTAAACTTTAATAATAAATATAATTGCCATTATTACTAATGACTTTATACCAGCGTGAAGGCAATTTGTATATTCCATTTTTTTTTAAATTCATCTTTTGATGCGAAAAATTGAACCAGTGCTTGTTTGATATCTTTTTTATTTTTGAATTTTTTGCCCTTAAAAATTTTTTGTAAGGACAAAAACAAGTGATAGTCGGAAGGTGCTAAATAAGGGGAATATGATGGATGCGACAGAATTTCCCAGCCTAGTTCTGCAATTTTTTGCCGAGGCCCCAAAGCAGCATGTGGTCTGGCATTATTATGGTGCAGTATAATGTCCCCCCCAACGTGCGTTCACCTGGTCGTGGTGGGGGGGGCTCAGTAGTAGTAGCGAAGCTAAGAAACGCACAGGGAGGTTGCCCACTTCGGTGGGCGGTGGGAGGTGGCCCTCTTCGGGGGGCGGTGTACCTTGCGGGTTGCTCCTGGTACTTCTCTGATCATCAAATTATTAAAAGCTAAAGATAGAATGCATGCTAAATATCGTAAATATGGAAATCCACGTGATAAATTAGAATTCCAACCTTTGCGCAGTCGTTGTCATCATTTGTTTGATGTTTATTACAGCGAATACAAAAAAAACATCGAAAATAACATCTCAAAAAATCCAACCTCTTTTTGGAATTTCTATAAAAACAAAAGACAAGTTAAGTCTTCGTTGCCTGTTTCTATGGTCTTAGATAGCAAAGTAGGTAATACGGGAAATGACATAGCTAATCTTTTCGCAAGTCATTTCTCTTCTGTTTACACCGAAGATACCTCTAGCGTCCCACTGGAAGAAATTAATGTTAAGGTTCTTGGCATGGAGAAATTAAAATTCCAAGAAACAGAAGTCCTTAAAAAAATTAAATCCTTAGACCCCCTAAAAGGTGCAGGCCCGGACGGAATTCCCCCTCATTTTGTTAAAAGATGCGGCTCTGCCTTGGCTCTTCCTTTGTCGCAAATTTTCAATCGCTCCATAAAGGAAAGTATCTTTCCAGATGAATGGAAAAAGACGCGTATTGTACCAGTCCATAAAAAAGGAGATCGATCAGACATTAAAAATTACCGCCCTATATCCATTTTGTCATGTTTCTCAAAGGTGTTTGAAAGTTTAATATATCCCAAACTTGCTAAATACTTCAATAATATCTTCATTAGTTCACAGCATGGGTTTAGAACTGGGTCATCAACCCAAACAAACCTAGTCGTGTTGGTTTCTGACTTGGCGTTAGCGATGGATAAGGGGGAACAAATTGATGCCATATACACTGATTTTAGTAGTGCCTTCGACAAAGTGGACCATAAAATACTTCTTGATAAGCTATATCAGTATGGACTGGGGATTTCGTTAGTTAAATGGTTTAAATCATATCTTACTCAAAGACCATTAACCGTCAATGTCACAGGATTTGAATCGGAAACATATTTTGCTAAAAGTGGGGTGCCGCAAGGTTCACATTTGGGACCTCTATTGTTTCTTGTTTTTATAAACGATATAACCGAAAATATTAAATACTGTAAATGCTCATTATTTGCGGACGATCTTAAATTATATAAAACGATCACATCAAGTGATGACATAAATTTGATCCAGGATGACCTTAATAATATCACCGAATGGTGTCGCCATAATCATATGACTCTTAATGTTAGCAAATGTTTTCACATTAAATTTACTCGCACTTGTGTCTAAATATACTATCTGAAAGAAGTATCTGAGATCAAAGATTTAGGAGTCACTATTGACAGCCGTTTAACTTTTATCTCGCATATTGATAAAACTATCCATAAAGCCGCACAAATTCTAGGTTTTATCAAGCGGAATGCACATGGTTTCAGTAGGGCAACAAAAATTGTTTTATTCAACGCATTGGTACGCAGTTGTCTTGAATACGCTAGTGTGGTTTGGAATCCTTTGTATAGTGTTCATTCCCAACGCATTGAGAGCATCCAACGCACTTTTACAAGATATCTTGCATTCTATGAAGAGAATCTCTCTCACAGACAGCCTTATCGCGAAAGATTGGATAAGTTCAATATTCTATCTCTCCGTGATAGGCGCGAAATTCTTGACTTAAGATTTTTACATAACATTATACACAATCAAGTTCTGAGCCCAGATTTAATGGAAAGTATTTCAATATCTGTCCCCTCCAGAAATCCTAGGAACAAGGTCCATAATATATTTTTCATACCTAGAGTCAGATCTAACCTGGGTAGCCAAGCCCCTGTTTTACGTATCTGTGCTAAATATAATAACCTTCAGAAATCGTTACCAAGCATTGACATTTTTCACGATTCACCCTCTGTTTTTAGACGTAGGCTATTAGATTACTTTAATAAAAAAAATACATAATAATTTAAATTTAGGTAGTAATTAATTTTTTACTTTTCTTACTTTTAACTATTGTTTACAGTGAACGCTATGTACACTTGTTATAGATATACATATCAGGTAGTTAATTTATATTACTAATAAGATTATCAGAAATGTTTTATATGTGTATTGTTAGTGTGCTTTATAAATAAAAAAATAAAATAAAAAAAATTAAAAAAAAAATAAAAAAAAAAAGCAGAGTGGACCTTGGAGCAACGCCATGGTTGTGGTGGTCTGCTTTGGCAGACCTGCCGTCGGGGCGTCGTAGTTGAATGCGTAAGCGATCCTGCGACGCCCCATTAAGACGGGGGAAGGTTTTGTTGGGTTTTAGTGGGTAGTACTGGTTGTATTACGCCGGTGAGTCCCACACGTCGTGCGTAAATGCATTTCCCAACGTTAAAAAAAATGGTGCAGTATAATGTCCTTCCTGTTGAATATCGCCGGCCTCTTGCTGTCTTTAAATTATTCAGTTGTGGACAGTATTTCTCCGAAATGAGCTTTTCGTCCGATTTTAAAAGCTCATAATGTATTGGTCCTCGAATGTCCTATCATATACACAACATTCTCTTATTCAAAGTCAAATTCGGCTTAGAGTTAGAAGGGCTAGGTTTTCCGGGTTCACAATATGTTGTTTGTGTTGGTTGTTGTTGGTTTTTGTTGTTTGATCACCACCAGATGGTGGTGGTAATCTGTTGAGGGCAACAACTACTCAGCCGGAACTGAGTAGTCGTTGGTTAAGGGCGAGCTCCGGCAGGACTGGCTGCGTGTTGCAGCGTCACGCCGGGCTCCGTTATGAGCACTAGGAGTGCCCACAGTGCCGACGCCGACCAGCTCGGCAACTGGCTTCCCTCAAGGTGGCAGACCCCTTATATATGCCCTTTTCCTTCCAAAGTTTTCGTAGGTAATTCACTTTTCATCTCCAGTTATTATCCGGCTTAAGATGGGCACGATTTTGTTCCGACAGAGATGTGTATTGTGTATATGACGACTCGATCATTAAAATTCTTCTGACTTAATTCCTGTGACTCCCATCTTGAATATTTTCACACCAATCCTATCTTCCGAATATGGTTCGAAATGATTTGATGAGCCAAATTAAGCCTTTCTGCAATCTCTGATGTTGTTAGAAAAGGATCTTGCTCCAACATGGTATACAGCGTCGTCGATCAGAGATGATCGCCCATAACGTGGCTTATCAAAAAGGTCAAAATCACCTGTTTTAAATTTTTCGAACCTCTTTCGAATCTTCTGCATGTCCTATCAGAAACTGTACCTTCACCGAATACTTTCAATTAATGTCTACATGCTTCTGTAGCATTTCTTCCTTGTTGAAATTCGTGTAAAATACAGTGGCGTAAATGAACTTTATCAGTAGCCAAGGATACACTATCGCTTCACACTTAAGACTTATGCGAATCAAGTTTACTTTACTTCATTTGCTACTTTAGTATGTATATAATAAGCGATTAAAATTTAGAGCCGAACATGCGCCAAATAAACATGTGCTTACATGTCGAAAATTATTGTCATAGAAACTGACAGAACTTTCCGATAGACCTGTTATTTGGTATGAATATGATTTAGTAAATCAAAAAGGTGTTGTTGTTTCTGAACAGGACTAAAAATGTCGCGCGTCTAGAGAAGCCGATCAAATTATTTAAAAAATATGTTTATAAGTAAGAAATACTTGAGGGCATCATGAAAAGCGTGAAATTAATCTGCCGATTTCCACAAGCCGAAGAAAAAAAAATTGTCCATAAAGTTTGTGGACGATTTTTGTTTCTTAACCTGTACATACAGTGGACTTATACCTAATATATATGGTGAAGGTACACAACAGAGTGCAAGATATCGCCCCTTATGTTGATCTGCCGTGCTTGAGTAAATCTTAAAATCCCCTCTTGGGCCCACAATTAATACGTACTTAGGGTAGGGACGCACCCGAGCAAAGCCAGGGTAAGTTGCTAGTTTAGTATAAATGATTTTTTGTATTTTGTAAATATATATAATTATTATTTGTTCGGTATATTCCCATTCTACAATCTTATTACTACAATTACTAATTACTACTAACTAATACTAATTATTACCATTATTAATTACCACTTAACATACGCGTACGCACTCCGCACTCCGCCCACCCGCCTCAAGCCGAACAAAAAGAGCTATTACCGCTTGATGGTGGAGTCAGTCAGAAGACGCCACACCGTCGAGAGCACAACCTGTCTTGTCATGCTAGGCTTTGTTATTAACAAATTTACTTTTTAAATAAATAACGATATCATAGAACCATTTAAATGGATTCAGAAGAATTTCGTATACGCGGTAAAGAGATGGTTGACTATTTATGTACGTATATGAACACTTTGCGGACCCGGCGTGTTACTCCAGCGGTGGAACCTGGATACCTTCGCAAGGAGCTTCCTTCAGAAGCTCCTATGCACCCTGAGGACTGGGAAGACGTAATATACGATATAGAGCATAAGATCATGCCTGGCGTTACTCACTGGAAACATCCAAATTTTCATGCCTTTTTCCCGAGTGGTAACGCATATCCCTCAATTCTCGGCGATATGCTGTCTTCAGGAATTGGTTGCTCTGTATTTTCTTGGGTAATTATACCACTTTCTTCTTTTACTTACATTTTATATCTAGTATATACTTTAATGGATTTAATCCATGACCTATTTTTGATCTTAATATAATAAAATTAAAATTTAAGGACTGAGAATAAACGGAACAGTGCAATAAATTCAATTACATAGGAGTTTCCATTAAGTTTCACTTTCAAAATCAATTTTATTAAATTGTATTATTGTACATATAATAAACTTCTATTATTATAATATCTTATCGCATACCTATAGATCTACACAAATTAGATGAGATTTGTTATTCTTTTGTAATTGTTAGGGAGGTCCATTTCTAGTCAGATTGTTTTTCCGATATGGTTTTCGATTGTATAATATGTCGCTGGGAAATGGTAAGATCTGGTAAATTATTATTTGTGAAGTTATAACTAAGTATCCGGAGTATTGTCAATCGTTTCGTCTGACAATATCAGTAAATTTTTTTAGGTAAATTATAATTTCCCTAAGCACATTCAGTTAAATTGTGAAACGGTTACCTACTGATTAGACAGGTAATATATTATAATGTCTGTGTGAAATGATAATATATTTTATACAATTACAAAAAAAATGATAAAATTACTTAGCCATTATTTTAATGACTTAAAATATATTGTTTCAGGCGTCGAGCCCCGCTTCTACTGAATTAGAAATAATTATGTTAGATTGGATAGGTAAGTAACTACTTTTAGATAAAGAATTTATATATTTTTAATATTCCAACTTAGAGAATATTTAAACTTAATTTACGTTATAATAAATTATAAAATTTTGCCGATTTCTGTGATGATTAGAATAAACTGCGATTGTCATCACAGAAATGTTTTTATGAGATCAAATTAAGAAATACATACATTGCCAATGTTCACTTCTTCTTTTTCTATATATTCTATATTATACATGTAAGTGAAGCTTTAACATACGATTTTTTTCAGGGAAAGCTATAGGGTTACCTCCAGCTTTTTTATCTTATGGGGAGGGCAGCAAGGGCGGTGGCGTGATTGAGGTAATACCTTTCATGTTAATTTATTCTTTATGCATATGTTATAATAACATTAATGAAAACGTATGCTTTCCTTATATTTAACACATTAATTATATTTCTAATATTTTTTTAAATTCTTTATATTTCAACAATAAATTAAGATTATACTCTTTTATTAACTAATATACTTGAATGAAAATGGAAATGTTACTTGGATACGAAGTCACGGGCAAAGGCTGTTAGTTATTGAACTTAAATAGTAAATACAATTTCTCTGAGATCTGTTCTTATTAGCTAAGCTCATGGTATGACCAAGAAAGCTGCCTGCATTGGAGTCATCAGTGATTGAACATGTTCTTAAATAGAACTCCAACTTCCAGACACTAAAGTCCCACTTCCAAATGTTTTCACCCCATACTCCACTAACACGGAACCCACGATCGGTAATTTCAGTGCCGAGCCGAAAGCCAAACGCTAAATAGAATAAGAAAAATATATTATATGACGAATTATCCCAAAAATTAAAATATTTACCATATTTAACATTCAAACAATCAATTGAATTAGCTGAGTAACTTAGTACGAGTATTGAGAATAAAGTTGCTAAATGAATACATATACGTACCTATATAAGTTAATTATTGTAAGTATCTATACATTTCGCGGTAACTCGGAATTACTTTAATATTTTATTATTTAACTGCCTCGGTGGTGTAGTGGCTAGCATGTACGGCTGAACACTCGGAGGTCCTGGGTTCGAATCCCGGGTCGGGCCAAGTTTAGTTATTGAGTCTTTCTCTATAGCAAGTCTCAGTAACAGCCCGGAGTTGGGAAGTTGGCGGTGTTTCACCCCCGTGCCTGGGAGAGCACGTAAAGCCGTTGGTCCTGTGCCTTAACTCTCACTGTCGTGTCGAGTGGTCGTCCCACCAGAGTATGAGAGTAATAGGAATAGAGAGTGCACGTTGTGTCTGCGCGTACACTTGTGCACTATAATATATCCTGCGCAGTTGGCTAGTCTCAATGAGATTGGCCGCTGTAGCCGGAATTGGCCAGGAAAACATCATTTATTTAACTTGGTGTTACTGTTACCCCCATCTCTTTACATAAAATAGGAAATCATTTTTTTATGTTATCGTAGGGGTCAGGTAGCGAGTGTATCCTTGCGACGATGCTAGCTGCAAGAGCTACGGCCATCAAACGATTAAAGCATCAATTTCCCAATGTTGATGAGGGTCTCTTGCTGTCTAAGTTAATCGCGTATTGTTCAAAAGAAGCTCACTCTAGCATTGAAAAAGCTACTATGATCAGCTTTGTTAAACTTCGCATTTTACAACCTGACGAGAATGGAAGTCTAAGAGGGGACACTTTAAAGGCAGTAAGTAACTTTTTGGCTAAGAATATTCATGGATTGATTGTGAGACTATGACTGAGTTGTTAATATGTTTCGTTTTTTATTACATAATATTTTAACGAAAAATCTAAATAATGAAAATGTATAGTAGTAAGAGAGAGATACATTACATATGCACCTACTAAATACTAAACCCTAAAAAAGATTCAGTTGTTAAAAATATATTAATACTTATAAGTAGACTAGCGACTCACCCTCGCAATGCTTCCCATACAAATTTTCATCCCCATTCTCACCCCCTTAAAGGATGATTTCCGGGATAAAAACTATTTCATTCACTCACTTTTCATATCATGAGATTTACAAAAAATCTTATTAAAATAAGAATACTAAACTAAACAAGAGTACTAAAGTAAAAAAAAAACATTTTTCTTTTTATTTTCTTCTATACAAAAACAGAAAAAAAAATCATCCAATTTGGTGCAATCGATCCGAAGCTATGCGCGTACATACATTTCGGTGATTCATTTTTATTTATATGGATAGATAGATAAGTAAATTGGCCACGAAATCGACCCGACCTAATACAATCGTTATGTGCTTTTTAATTATATATTATTAGTTAAAGTAGTACTTTTTAATCTATACATATAATAAAATTGTAACCGAGTTGAATCTGTACATTAAATAATTTTTGGAAAATCTAATTGAAATAGACATTATTATCGATACAGAGTTTTTAGAATTTTTGTCTGTCTGTCTGTTACCGCATCACGAGAAAACCACTGGACAGATTTTGATGAAATTTGGTATGATAATAGCTGGTTATCCGAGTCAACATATAGAATACTTTTTACCGCAGAAAAATATCTCATTTCTGTGAAAAAATACAAAAAGTGCATTGTAAGAGTATACTAATATGTAAAACCTAAGAGTTTGGTTTTTGGGCATCTGAACGCGGGCGGAGTCGAGGGCAATGCTAGTCATTTTATATTTTAATATAAAAAAATGTAATTATTCGAATTTAGATTTTAGTAATTGAATAAGCGAGTCGCGTCATACTGAGACCTGGCCGCCGCGCCGCGCCACCTCCGCGTCAAGTCTTTAATAAATCGTCATTAGATTAAAGATTTCAGAACAACCTTTGCTGCGAATACTGATATTCATCATTCAACCTCTTATGAAAGAGGCGATTTAAATAAAACCCGTTCTGATTCAAATTATTTTTCTTGATTAAATGCGTTTATCTTCAAAAGAAACAATATTTCTACTAAATTTAAAGACGATTCAACACTATACGGACTAAATCTTTCAGTTTTAAATATCTACTCCTCGTGCAGGTAGGTACCTTTGAATAAAAACTAATTCTAATTTTTTTTTATAGGCTATGAAGGAAGATGAGACAGCAGGCTTAGTGCCATTTTTCGTAGTAACCACTCTAGGATCTACAACTATCTGTTCTTTCGACAACTTGTCTGAAATTGGGCCAATAGTACGAGAATTTCCTTGCGTGTGGCTTCACGTAGACGCTGCATACGCTGGAGGTGCATTCCTCTGTCCAGAACACAAGTATCACTTGGCAGGAGTGGAGTACGCTGATTCTTTCACTACAAACGCAAATAAGTTGATGTTTACTGCATTTGACTGTTCTCTTCTGTGGGTGACCAATCGATATTTACTTACATCGGCCCTTGTTGTGAACCCACTTTATCTACAGCATTGCTACGACCACACTGCTATTGATTATCGTAATTGGGGAATATCCCTTAGCCGTCGTTTTCGATCGCTCAAACTATGGTTTATGTTGAGGAGCTATGGCATCTCCGGCTTACAGAAATATGTTCGACTACATTGTGAGCTTGCTAAATATTTTGAGCAACTAGTTAAAAAAGATGAAAAATTTGAAATATGTAATCAAGTTATGGTATGTACACAACCTACTTTTATTATATTAGTTTTATTATTAAATAAAACTTGTTATCTAGGTATAATTTGAAATGCAAATAAAACGAAACGAAAAACCAAAATTTACATTCTAATTTACATGTCTATCTATTACTTCAGTGTGGTATATAATGAGAACATTAAAAAAAACTATAATATCTTGTACAAATGTAGATAATTCAAAGCAAGAAATAATTTAATTAGGAGCTGAATTCTAGGATAATTATTTTCTTATCTGTAATGTTGTATATATTTAAAGTTGATTCTAAGATCATCATTGAATTTAACGGAAATGCTAATCTAAAATTGCCAAAAAGTATCAACTTTTAGTGCGACCGGTTTCAAAGTTAAGTGCTATAGTAAGTATTATTTCATAGCAGGTTACCCTTTATAGTTACCCGTCAACCCTAAAGATGTTTCCCGACTATCATATATAAGAACACTATCAAATCACCCTCGCTTCGCTCAGGTTCGTCCCTAGATACGTTTTAACGGTTAGTATGAAATACAAATCTTTGAATTTCTCAGCTTTTCTGTACTATAATTTGCATGTATTCTACATATTTAAAACCGTTCCCTTGAATCACTCTATTTATTGCTGAAAACTGCATTAAAATCCGTTGAGTAGTTTAAAAGATCTAAGCGTACAGACAGCAGAAGCGACTTTATTTTATCTATACATATAATAAAATTGTAACTAAGTCGAATCTGTAAATTAAATATTTTTGTGGAAAATCTTATTGAAATAAACATTATTATCAATACAGAGTCAGAATATGTAGTTTTTAGAATTTTTGTCTGTCTGTCTGTTACCGCATCACGAGAAAACCACTGGACAGATTTTGATGAAATTTGGTATGATGATAGCTGGATATCCGGGTCAACATATAGGATACTTTTTACCACGGGAAAATATCTCATTTCTGAGAAAAAATACAAAAACTGCATTGTAAGTGTATACTAATATGTAAAACCTAAGAATTTGGTTTTTCGTCATCTCAACGTCAACGCAGGCGGAGCCGCGGGCAATGCTAGTACTATATAAAAATCACGCTCACGTTATCGTTCGGCTTATTAGCTAAACACTAAACAGTAGGCAAGACGGTGTGGGGGGAGGTTCGGCGATCGCATCAAGCGAAACGAGGCGCTTAAATTTTATTCTCGAGTCGGTAATTTTTTTGCGATTACTCATATTATGATATTCATTTAAATTATATGATGTAAAAGAGTAAAATAATGTGCATGAAATGCTTAAAGCCTGTAACTTATTTAAAATGATAAGGATTAATACCATATTTGTTTAAATAGCTTTTATGTATTATGTATATTATTCTATGTATTATAATTATAATTGCCATTTTTTTAATTTTAATTAATTACAAGCGGCTACCCTCGCTTCGCTCGGGTTCGTCGCTAGGTACGTTTTAAATAGATATACCTAAATAGTTATTAGTCAGCGTTAGCCATATACATTTTAATTTTTTTTTTGTTAATAATATTGACAAATATTGACATTAATATTTATACGATACTAACGTCACTTAATTGTTTTGCCTTCCCGGAACCTTTCCACTAACACTTAAACTTTATGGTAGGTATGGTATAAAAGTTCAAATTGACTTTTAAGTATTATTACGAATCTTTTGTATGGAAGTGTAGAAAAGTGTTGTTTTTAAACTTTTCAGGCAATTTTTAAAATTTTTCTCGCCGTAAGAACCATCTTTGTACTTCAAGGAATATTCTAAAAAAAAATTTTGTGAAATCGGTTCAGCTGCTCCCGAGATTTGCGCTTAGCAACACATTTAGCAATTCATTTTTATATTATTGATTAAAATGGATATAGTATGTTATCTTTAAGAGATAGACATATGCCATATGTAGAACTATATAAGATACGCAATTCTACCATACATTATTGTTATACATATCTCACAGGGTGTAGGCCCCATTTTCGTTGAAAGCGCCCAGACGGCTAATTTCTGACACCTCCAACAAATATCGTTATATTTTAGCCAATGTATACGAAAACTTAACAAATTAAATACTTAAAGCTTCCTCGAGCACCACTCCCATTGGTGAAAAGAGCATGAAAATCGGTGCAGTAGTTTTTGAGCTCATCGCGAAGATACAGACAGACGCGGCGAAGGACTTTGTTTTATGTAGTGATATAACAGTAGGGTGCCCTTCGCCCGCGTCACCTCCCCAACGATTGATCTGTCTGATTCGCCTTGGATAGACGATTGTAAAGGTAACAGACGGAGGTAGGAAAATGTTTACCATTATTTATTATATTCTTAGGTGTATATTTTACATTTTAGATGGGATTAGTTGTCTTCCGGCTAGTCGGAGGACCTGGTGAAACGGATGAGCAAGTTGATGAATTAAACAAGAAACTATTGACCAATATTAACGAATCTGGAAAAATGTATATGATCCCGTCTTCAGTACGCGACAAATTTGTAATTCGTTTTTGCGTTACACAACAAGATGCAACTCGCGAAGATATGGGTATTTATCATCGAGTCGACTCGACGATTCGATCGATTCGAGGCGATTCTGTGCTAATATAATTTAATTTTATATTAGAGTCTTTCCTACATATTTTAATATTCCGATATACCTTTGCAGAATTTGCATGGGATACAATAACACACTTTGCGACGGCATTATTGGAAGATCCCGATAAGGAAAGGGTATAAACTATAAACAGACAAACGTATCTAGTACATCCACTATGGCTTCTGCAGGACAGACACCGAAAATAGAATGCAAAATCTGAATATCAAAGCAAGCGCCTTTAGCTTTATAAAACTTTATATAATTAGCTTTTTAAAACTATAATTTTTTTTTCATTTTGTATTATTTTTTGTTATTGAGTCATTGATTTTATGACGCATTTAAAAATTTCTCGTCTATCACGTTTTCTAATATGCAGCGGCTTTTGACCTGAGAATGTCATTCACAAGAATTTTTTCTACTGTTTTAACCGACTTCCAAAAAGGAGGAGGTTCTCAATTCGTCGGAATTTTTTTTTATATATGTTCACCGATTAAGTACTCGAAGACGCCTGAACCGATATAACTTTTTTTTCGATGGGTATGTAGTATTTTTTTTTCATTTAAATTTTAACGAAATCGGTCGGCGGTTTTTAATAAAATCGTAATCGTCTACACTAAAAATGGAAAAATAGAAGCTTTTAAAAAAACTGACTTCCAGGCACTAAAATGTAAAAAATACTAAACGGGGTTTTTATTTAGAATAAATAGATACCTATAAATCAGATATTTTCGATGTCAGTGACAGCCGATGCACAACTGACAAAATACACATTTTCATTAACGCATAACGTGCAAGGTCATAAAAGACGCCATTATTGAAAATATTTGGTTTCTGGCGAGACGGACTAATCTTGCTCACACACTTTGGATACCCTTTTATTCACTTGGGTAATGGGTATGTAGCAATGACAATAAAATTATAATAAATAATTTTAATTTTTACAGTGTAACTATTGTAATTTCGCAATAAAAAAATAATATTATTTCTTTTATTTAATTACTAGCAAAACCTACGGCTTCGAAAACTCTTTGAATTTATGCTATTTAGCGATTTACTTAAGTTTTAACGTTTAGTATAGATTTCTCAGAGTGATATATTTTCCCGCCGTAAAAAGTAAGTATGCATATATTGAACCGGAAAATCAACTATCAAATTTCATTAAAATGCCTCGAGTGGTTTTTCTGTGATGCGGCCACAGACAGACAGACAAAAATTCTAAAAGCTATAGATTCAGCCTCTGTATCGATAGTAATGACTATTTCAATAAGATTTTCCAAAAAAATAGTGAATGTAGGTACAGATTCGGCTTAGTTACAATTTTATTATATGTATTGAAGTAATAAATAATTAGATGGCCTTAATGATTTTCAAATGTATGATTTTGACTCACGCATCGAGGGTTCAGTATCTGAATATTGTGTTGTTTTAATAAGATATTTTTACACTAACTAACAGAGCCCGTGACATTGCTCGCGCTAAAACTCCCAAATATGGTAGGTTTCATACAAACTTTCATCCCCTATTTTGCCCCCTTGTGGGATGAATTTCGAAAAATACTAAAATACGTACATATTTATTTAATTGTATTAAATAGCATTATTACCAAGTTTTACGTAATTCTGACCATAAATACTTTTTAGGTTGTAATATGACGTGTTTTACCATGGGGATAAGATAATCTCCCGCGGGAGAAAGTAGCCTATGTCACTCTCCAGCCCTCGAACTCTCTCCACCCAAAAAATAATGCCAATCCGTCACTCTGTTTCGACGTGAAAGAAGGACGAACAAATAAACACACTTTCACATTTATAATATTAGTATGGATATGGATTACATTAACGAGAGCCGGAGTTATAGTAAAAACCAAAGTCTTAACTATAACATATTTATAATATGTATGTATTTAAAGTTATATATGTGTAGTGTATCAACTATCTGGTATCCATAACACAAGCCTCGTAGCTTACCATGGAACTAGATGGTGCTGTGTGTTAATGTCCCAACGTATTTATAAAAAAAACTTAGGTATAATAGTTTAATTAAATTTACTTTAAAATAGAATCGTTCAATCTAAACTTAATTCTATGAAACAATAGTGATCGATTTTAGAGTCACATATTGAATACCAATTACTAATTACAATTGGATTATGTAAGATATTGAAATGCTGCTGCAGTTTTAATTTGGAGCCTGGAGGCACAATTTATACTAATATTATAAAGAATTTGTGAATTGTGAGTTTGTGACGTTGTAGGGGGTAATCTCTGCCCTCTGGATCTACTGAACCAATTAGATGAAATTTGGTAACGAAAGGACATAAGATACTTTTTATTCCGGAAATCATCCCTTAAGGGGTGAAAATGGGGATGAAAATTTGTATTGGGAAGCAAGCTAGGGACAAACCCGAGCGAAGCGAGGGTGAGTCGCTAGTATTTCATATTCACATATTCCAGAGTTATTATACGATCTCTGTATTTAATAACCATTCAAAATAAGTCGGATAATATCGTTCGGATTCATGGTCAGTAAGAATTCTCGGATTCGTCACGGGACCGTCAAGCAAAAAACTACGTACGATCCATGATCGAATCAAGGTACGATCATAATGTACCTACACATTAATTTATTACAATTTCCATGGATCACAATTATGATTTATTTCGAATATCACAGATTATATAATATTATACTACGTATAGTTTCTAACTGCCTCGGTGGTGTAGTGGCTAGCATGTACGGCTGCACACTCGGAGTTCCTGGGGTCGAGTCCCGGATCGGGCCAAGTTTAGTTGCTGAGTCTTTCTGTATATTAAGCCTCAGTAACAGCCCGGAGTTGGGAAGTTGGCGGTGTTTCACCCCCGTGCCTCGGAGAGCACGTAAATCCGTAAAGGTCCTGCGCCTTAACTCTCACTGGTCGTGTCGAATGGTCGTCCCACCAGAGTATAAGAGTGACAGGAATAGAGAGTGCACGTTGTGTCTGCGCGTACATTTGTGCACTATAATATCTTCTGTGCAGGTGGCTAATCTCAATGAAATTGGCCGCCGTGGCCGGAATCGGTCAGGAGAACATCATCATCATCATGTAGTTCCAATATTAAATACTTAGTAACAAACCTACTACAAATTTTTAATTTTTCACTATCACGTGCTAAATTTGATTTGTATATATATATATATATATATATATATATATATATATATATATATATATATATATATATATATATATATATATATATATATATATATCACTTTTTATTCTCTTCAGTGTACTTTTCCTTTCAGGATAACTATATGTTTTAGTAATCGTTGTTTTGACTGATATTATCAACGTTTGTCAATAGCCTGGGATTAGATATTTGTGCTTATTTTTATAAATCTTCAGTTTAAAATATAAAGGAAAAAATATTTTGGTAGTACATATTTTTAAACGCTTTTTTACATTTTACATCGATATAGTTAATTTCAGAACGTTAGTCAAATGTCACTTGTCTACAATGACAAAAATATATTTCAGATTTCTGATGAATTCTAAAGATGATCTTTATTCTGTGGTTTAAAAATATAAAACAACGTGATCTGTAATAGGGTCTAAAATATTTGATTTTAATATCCAGTATCCTTTGACAATATATAAGAACATACGAACTTGGTAATAGGTAAGTGCGTATATATTTTAAATAATTATAAATATGTAACAAAAATATTCAATGGTTACAGAACTTCTAGTCATAAAAAAATTAATTTATAAGATTAATTTGTATATTTTCTAATAAAAAAATTAATTTATAAAATTAATTTGTATATTTTCTACAAATAAAAGCAATTTTAGTAATCAAGTACAAGTACAAAAAAATGGCAAAATTGGAGTTACTTCAAACTTTAACTGGTCACAAAGGTATCGTTTGGAATGTATCATGGCATCCAAACGGTAAAGTATTTGCATCTTGTGGTGAAGATAAAGTCATAAAGTTGTGGAGTAAAGAAGGAGAAAGTTGGGTGGTAAAAACTGTTCTTGTTGATGGACACCAGAGAACAATTAGAGAAGTTGCATGGTCCCCTTGTGGAAACTTTTTGGCATCAGCTAGCTTTGATGGTACTACAGCTATATGGGATAAAAAAAGTGGTGTGTACCTACTATATGAAAGTCACTTATTATGATATGAACTGGAAGTATGTACATATTTCAAATGTTTTATATTTTACTAGGTCAATTTGAATGTAATGCTACACTTGAAGGGCATGAAAATGAAGTAAAGAGTGTAGCATGGTCACCTTCTGGTCAACTATTAGCAACATGTGGCCGAGATAAATCAGTATGGGTGTGGGAAGTTGCTGGAGATGATGAGTATGTTTGTGAAGCAGTACTTAATGCTCACAATCAAGATGTAAAGAAAGTTAGTGGAAATTGAAATTATGAATTAAAATTTATTTTCATATGCCACCCTAAGCCAGCTATTAAGATAATCAAACAAATTTTTGTTTGTAGATTGCATGGCAGCCATCATCAGATGTTTTGGCATCTGCTTCATATGATAATACAGTTAAAATGTATAAAGAAGATCAATTGGATAGTGATTGGACTTGTATAGGAACATTGAAGTCACATGAGTCAACAGTATGGAGCTTAGCATTTGACAAGACGGGTAAAAGATTGGCTACCTGCAGTGATGACAGGACTGTTAAAATTTGGCATGAATATGATTCAGAAAATCAAGAAGGTGTTATTGTTTCTGAACAGGACTCTAAATGGAAATGTGTTTGCACACTTTCTGGTTATCACACTAGATGTATTTATGATATAACATGGTGCCATGTGACTGGCCTTATAGCGACAGCTTGTGGTGATGATATCATTAGGGTGTTCAAAGAAACTGAAGACTCTGATCCTAATGCACCATCATTTGATCTTATTTGCACTAAACTTGATGCTCATTCTCAAGATGTTAATTGTGTTAAATGGAATCCTTTAGGAAACAATGAATTAATTTCTTGCAGTGATGGTGGAGAGATAAAAACATGGAAATTAATCGATGAATAACATCAAAAATACATATTATAATGCAGTAATATTTTTATTATTGTTATTCTCCTATTTTTACGTCTTTGTATAAATTAGGTTTAACTATTTGTTATATATTAAATGTACATTTTCAAACAAGTTTTTATTTCAACACTTTTAGGGTGAAAAGTTGACTAATAAAGAAAATAAATAATAAATTTTAAACGGTTTATATATTATGAATAAAAAGTTCAACTCCTTTTTTTTAATGTTGGTAAATGCATTTAGGCATACCATCTGTCAACATACAGGCCTCACTCAGAGACTCACTGGCTAGAAAAGTCGCTACTACCCACTAAAACCCTATAAAACCTCCCTTGTCTTAAGGGGTAGTTGTATTGTCGATTACGTTAACGCTTACTTAACCACGATGCCCTGACGGCAGGCCTGCCGAAGCAAAACAACAGCCATGGATACTGGAACGGTCCACTCTGCTATCAGAGAAGTTCCAGGAGTAACCCGCATGGCATACCTTACACAGTAACATACATATTTAGAATAATAAGTTAATTAATGCCGCTTTAAATGCTTCTAATGTGGTAAACATTGTATATTTGTATCGTAAATACTGAAACTTTTATTTAAGAGAATAGCTTAATTGGGAAGATTTCTTGAAAGGAGACTCCACACGTATCGCCTATTTACATTCAGTCTGAGGTCAATTTATTATGATATCTCTTTTGTACCTGGTTTTTTGCTTCTATTGTGTTCGCATCTTACCTGTGCAATGTTTTGTACATGAAAGTTAGACCAGCTAAAGAAAGAATTTAGAATAAGAGACGCAAGTTCAAAATTTGACTTTGCTAGTTTTTACCAGTAAAGCAAGTTTTTAGAAGAGTGAGACATGTTAATCCCACAAAATAAAAACAGTGACTTGCGTATAGCATAAAGAAGATATGAGTGATTAGCAGAATATAAGATAACTTGTATGTAGAAACTAGTCAAGTCAAATCTTGAACTTCAATTTATCCTAAGTTACCTACGATGTGTAAAATGTAAATAATTCGACTGTTCAAATTTAAGAAGTTCTATTTTTAAATAGCAAACACTTTTGAAGCAGAAAAAAACAAGAAATTGTGTTTCAAATTGATTATAGAATGTTGTATGTTCTTATTTCTTCAGGATTATCTACAGAACTTGGCACCCATTTAGATCTCAATTCTTTTGTCAATGAAGTGAACAACCACGCTTATTCTTAATATTGAACTTGGCTCCCATTTTCACATTTATGTTTTTGATGGGATATCATGACTTTTTGTAAAGAAACTATTATTATTCATAATTTCAAAGTGACATGTAAATTCAATCTCTTTTTTCATAATTTTGCGATTATTTGTTAGTGGATAAGGCGGGATAGGAAAATGTTTTTTAATCACCATGGAACCTTTACTACTGAGAATGAAAAAGTTTTTGCTATTACTATGATTGATTTTTCAAAAGGCACTAGGTGTATTTTAAGTTTTCATTTTCAAAACGCACTAGGTGTTTTGGAAGGCGCAAGGTGGTAATAAAAATTAATTTAATTATTATTGTTTTTTTTTCATATTTTAAAAATTTACTGTTTTCTGATTTTTAGCTTTGAAAAATGCAGATTTTTAGCCTTTAATATCTCAATAACCGTTTGAACTGTATTTATGAAATTGGTTATTCTAGTTAATCTAAGGGGATTTAATAAATGAACTAAATTTCATGAGTTTATGTTAAATATATTTCTAGTTATTACAAGGTGAAAAGTTCAAATGGTTGTGGCTCCAAATGGTTCGTATAAAATATACTCAGTGCTACGTCGCCAGTTTCTTTGGCTTGAACTTAGCTGGACACGCTACCGCGTGTCCGGATAGAAATGTGACGTACATCTCGTGCAAAACTTAAATTCTTTTGAGTGAAGGAAATTGAGTGCAAAAACTTATTACTATTGAATTTTTAATATTATTTTAAACTAAATATCCAGTAACATAATAAACTTACCCTTCAGTCAAATCTGTATCGAGCGTCGATATATCGTACGTATTAACTTGCGATCATTCACATGCGTAATTATGTTTTGTGCAAACAAAAACTAAAGAGACATAAAAGGTTGTTTTTTGTTTCAGATATAAAGATTTCTATCTGATGTTCATAAAAATAGGAAGAGCACTCATATCGAAAACCAGTAAAGTAAGAAATTACTGTGTAACCGTACCAAAAATGTCTAGTGGAGAAAAAACTGGCACCAACTTAAAAGAGGTTTTATCTACATTGGAAAAATTTGCGCCCAAACATCTATCTGAAAGCTGGGACAACACGGGATTGTTAGTTGAGCCGTACACACCGAGGTATGTTAATCATCTTCGCTGTCAACAGATTCTTTTGAGGGAATTAGAAGTAAGGGAATAGGGAATATGTGTGTTTTTTTAAATTACGCGCTCGCTTGGAAAACCAAGTAATGCGTATTCAAACTCCAGGTCTCGCACCTTTGATATTTTAACGTGCAAATCAAACAAATTTTAACACTTGAAATAACCTAACTAGTTTTGGAAGAACATGTGAAGTCTGCCAACAAATAGGTCAACTAAACGTGTGGACTATGCCTGTGTGGACTATTATCTGGTGTATGACTGTGTGGACTATAAGCGCCACTGTGATAGGAGAATGACCTCCAGGTCGCAGCTTCTATTTCTGAACGGAAAATTGCTGTTGTTGATTTATATGCTAATATTGTATCTTTTTGTATAAGGCACTCAGAATTGCCATTAAAAATATAACCTAAGTAAAATAAATAAAATAAATATGTTAGGACATTAACACACATCACCATCTAGTTCCATGGTAAGCTACGAGGCCTATGTTATGGATACCAGATACTTGATACATGTCCCAAATATAATTTTAAATACATACATAATATAAATATAAACACCCATGACTGGAGTACAAACATTCGTGCTCATCACACAAATGAATTCCCCCAGCGGGACTTGAACCCGCGACCGCTGGCACAGCAAGTAGGGTCACTACAAACTGAGCCAAACGTGTCGTAAATAAATAATAATAATAAATTACTGTGGGCATGGGATTTGGTTTATATTTAATAGAAATCCTTGAAATTTATGAGCACTGCAAATGATTACCTATTTATTATCGTTCTTATACCTTAGCTATTTACAGGAACATCGCCAAGATATTGTTAACAAATGACTTGACTGAAGACGTCGCCCTAGAAGCTAAAGAACATGGCTGTGAAATGATTATTTCATATCACCCCCCTATATTTGCGCCGTTGAAGAGCGTAGTTCAAAGGTACATACACACAGTTTTATAATTGAAGTTCAATATCAGTCTATTTCGAGAAATACCTTAGTACCTAGAATACAATTTATACTAAGAAAATCGGGCATGCCGTTTCCTAGAAATCAGTGGACATTCATAAATATATATATATATATATATATATATATATATATATATATATATATATATATATATATATAGAACCTCCCCCTTCTTTGAAGTCAGTTAATGAACCATCATAGTTACCAAACTAGGTCCAGAAATAAAATCGTGGGCCACAGAAATACCAAGCCTATGGAATAAATAAATATTTTGATTCAGTTCATGGAAGGAAAGAATCGTGTCACTGCTCTTGGAGTCACGGATTTATTTGTATTCACCACATACGAGTTGGGACTCTGTTAAGGGCGGCGTGAATGACTGGCTGGCGTCAGCTTTTCCCTTTACTGAATCAGTCCCGATAACACCTGGTGAAGATCTTAGTACAGGAGCTGGACGGTGAGATTATCTTATTAGCATGAAGACGTAGTATATATTTAAATATTGTCACAGAAACAAATATAAAAACATTTGCAAAATATATAATATATTTTAAATGCAAAAGTGTGCGTTCCTTACTTTTTCAAGCTCAACTTTGATGGCTCTATCAATTTCAGTGAAATTGTACAACTCGACATCTATACGTATAATAAAATTCTAACTAAGTAGAATCTGAACATTAAATATTTTTTGGAAAATCTAATTGAAATAGACATTATTTAATACAGAGTCCGAATCTACAGTTTTTAGAATTTTTGTCTGTCTGTCCGTTACCGCATCACGAGAAAACCACTTCACAGATTTTGATTATTTAGTATGATGATAGCTGGTTATCTGGGTCAACATATAGGATACTTTTTACCTCGGGAAAATATCTCATTTCTCAGAAAAAATACAAAAACTGCATTGGAAAAGTATACTAATATGTAAAACCTAAAAATTTGGTTTTTGGTCATCTGAACGCGGGCGGAGCCGCGGGCAATGCTAGTAATAAATAAAGATACCTAACAGGCTATTTTTTATCGACACACATTACGAACATACCCGCACGAACCTAATAGTTATTTTAGATTTTTTCAATTGCATCTTCATTAAAATTAAGAATATAAGATTTTATTTTTATTGTAGGATTTTACGTATCGAATCTAATTTTAATCTCTCTCAAGCTGTAGAAAATGTAAAAGGTTTAACTGGCTTGAAACACGTGCGATTGGCTCTCGGTAAAGGTCGAGCAATGGATGATAATGTGAAAAGTGTAGCACTCTGTGCTGGCTCCGGGGTATCAGTTCTGAAAAAAGTTAATAATGCTGATCTTTTCTTAACAGGTAAAGTGTGGTATTTTATATAAATGCCAAGTAATAGTAACCATATTTTTTATTAGTTCGATAAAATATATTTTTTCTTCTAGGTGAAATGCTCCACCATGACATTCTTGACGCTGCGCAAAGAGGTATATCAGTAATACTTACCAATCATTCAGATTCTGAACGTGGATTCTTACGAGGTTTTTCATCTCACCTTCAAAGGGAGTTTGACAATCAAGTTCAAGTTTTAGTAAGCGAATTCGATAAAGATCCCTTAACAACAGTGTAAATTCAAAATAAAATAAATCAAAGTAAGACTGTCCATTTTATTACAAATGTTACGCTGTAGCGTTGTTAGGCAGTATTTATAGAAACAAAATTTTAAATACTTAGTTGTGAGATCATTATTAACTTATTAAACTAAACAAGCTTGTATCTATGCATAAATTATAACTTGCTTCATGTTGAGGGCCTACAATTTTGTACAAATCACCTTACATTATATGCAAATATTGCTTCATTTATAGGAGTTGGCAAGATCTTTGTACATGTGATCTCTGCTTTGTTAACGTCTCCCCGTATTTCTGATAGCTTGAAATGTGATTCTTGGCGAGCTGGACTGAAATGTGTATGTTCAGGCATAACTTATCAACCCCTCTGTTTATGTGTTATTTAGCATGCACAACGACTACTTTCGTAAAGCAATTTTATTTAAATTCTTATTATTAGTGTTAGACTCCTGAGCATCATTATTTTCGACTGAAATCAATTTTCGTTTATACGTACCGGGCCCTGATTTAATTTTGCAAATAGAAGATACTGTTCCGTTTTTATCGTCATAATTTATTACATACTTGCTACGTTTTGACTTGGGTTTTTCAGATTTAGTGATAAGCATTTTTTCTGTATTATTTTGATTAGTTTTAAAAGAATTTTGTGAGTGAAGCTCCTTATTACCTCTTAAAGAGTTTTGATTCACTGTAACATGTTCTTTTTTGTTAGTATTTGTTTTCGTCATCATTTGTGGATTTTTGAAATTGTCGTATTTTTTTTCGTCTTTTCTTTGTTTGGTGACTTCTGTTACTGTATCAGAATTTTTATTTTTATATTTTTTCAATGAATTTCGTGAAACATCACTTTTATCCATGTTATTGTTTTTATTGGTAGGGGGTGTATTGTTATACAAACGTTGTTTTACGTTATATTCAGTGATGTGATCAGGAGTAGTTAATTTTTCAGTCCTACGCGGAATACGTTTTTTTAGATTTTGCTCACTTTCGGGCCTTATTTCATATTTTGTATCTCTTGTGCTGATTTTACCTTTCTCATTCACAGAATCTATTTGCTTATGACTTGAAGTAACACTTTTAATTGCATTTGGTTTAAATTCGGGCTTCAGTGAATGTTTATGTTCCTTGTTTTTGTGACGAGAACTATCTAACATAGGCGCATTTTTGTCTGCCTTCACTTTTAAGTTGACGTATAAAGGAGATTCCGATTTCTTCCTATCTAGTTCTGCTACGTGGGTTGATCTCGTTGTTTCATTTTCCTTATTGTTCTTCAACTTTTTCATTGAAGTGTTTCGATTTATTCTGGAATAATGCAAAAGTGAACAGATGTAATAAATATAGCTATAAATCAATATTTAATAACGAATTATATAATTTTACATACCCAGTAAAAGGAATATCGACTGTATTTTTGATTTTTATGTTTGTCGTAATAGATTTTGTACACAAATTTCGAGGTGTTTCAGATATCTTACGTGTTGTTTGTCTTAAAGGTGCCTCACTTTTTGAAGTAACTCTTATTCGATTTGTTTGAGCTACTTTTTCAGTGTCTTGTTCTATAATTGGTTTTAATATTCTAGGTTCATTGATTATTTCAACTTTATCAATATATTTTGACCGTGGTTTAGGGGTCGGTGTTATTGGTAAATTATATTTAGATAAATTTTGATACTCGGGTGTGTCGTCTGACTCCGCTTCACTATTACACACGCTATTAGATATTTGTTGTACTAATTTAACGGAATGTAATATTTCTTCTTGTAAATTGTCTTGACTATGAATCTTTTTAGATCTAATATTATCTTCGATTCCAAAATATGCTAGATCAGATCCACGAAGTTCTCTTATCTTCGTTTTACTCTCCGTTGAAGTTGTTGAACGGGTTTTTAAGTCATGTGAAGTTTTATTAAATGTTTCATATGTGTCATCACTAGTCGATTGCTTATGATTAAACTCATTATGTAGTTGCGGACCTGAAACAAAACACATGTTTATATATTGTCACTTATCAGTTTTTATACATTGCATATGAATAAAACTGATTCTTGATTTATGTAACATGTGAGCTTAGTAAAATATTAAGATACCTACCTCTATTTCCTGTCCTGAAAGATTTGGAAACAATGGAGTTTAAATCACTTTCATAACTAGAGTCTATTTTATGTCTAGGCTCATTTTCAGGTTGAAGTTGTTTATTAATCAACGAAACAGCACTTATGACAGATGTACTTTTAGTACTAGATGCAATTTCTGAATTATTCTTGCTGTCATGAGAATCCCCAAACACCATGTTCTCTCCTAGAAGATATGGCTTGGGTTTCGGAATTTTATTTTTGAGAATACTTTTAGTAGCTGCTGTATTCTCATCGGATTCACCAAAGTCACTGTTAGAAATGCCATGTATATTACTGATTTCCAATGGATCACTCTTTTCCCCAAAAAGTGTAATTGATCTCTCGATTTTCTCATTTAAAGGTACGAAAACACTTCTTCTCTTTCTAAAATCTGTAGACGGTGGAGGCTTCTCATCGGTTGCTATAATATTTACAGTTCCAGTATCTACGGCAAAATGAAGTTCTGTCTTACAGAATTCTACTTTTTTGGTTTTTCTGTCACTCTCCTCTGAAGATCTTGAAATGTCAGTCTCTTTGTCTGTACAAGTTTCTATTGGTAAAGTAATTGTTACTTTCCCAGTAGATTGCAGCGTAATTTTACCCTCACTCAATTTGGATTCTGCCGTTAGTACTTCTCTGGGTTTCGGTGATATCGACTTCTTATAAGAATTTGATCTGTTCTTAGATAGCCAGTCTTTAAAACTCTCCTCTTGAATATGGTCCATTCTCACACCATTGTTTGCATACCGTGAGTTTGTTATATTGCTGGAGTAGTCATTAACTATTTCAGATGATTTACAAATTCCGCTGTCTGTTGATGAATCCTTGGTAAACAAATTGTTACCAGGAGATATATTATCCACAGGCGATGTGTCTTCAAAGCTATAACTTTTTCTTCTACTGTTCCAATCATCACTTCCATTTAATATTGATGTATATTTCAAAGTGCTTAATGCTACAGGTGCATCTAATAACGGGGAGACTCTAGTATTAATAGTATGGATTCTATGTAAATCTTCTTTTTCATTACTTCTTCTTCGTAAAGTACTTCTACTACTTGCTCTTGAATCGAGATCAATTATACTTGCATTATCTGCGGAGGAGGACTCTTCGCTGGGCATTCGAATTGAATTGTTCCTTGTAGAACCTCGCCATTTAGATGGTTCAGAAATTTCATAATCATCTGGTTCAGTCACTTTATAATCTTCTCTCTCAATTTCACTGTCAGGTGACGTTCCCAATGGAGTGGAAGATATTTCTAGCGGTTTAGATGGCAATGACGATGGCTCTAAGAAGTTATAACCGGACGACAGCACCTGAAAGATTCATATTGATTAAATAATATACATATATACTGGAATAGTTCAAATAACCTATAAGGAGATTACTGAATCAAAAAATACTGTACTTTTCGGGAAGAATGCATTAAGTAGGACGATGATCCTGGACCAGCGGACGAATGATAGGCGGCCCTCATGACGCGAACCCGTGCTCCTGGGGCACTTGCATGCAATACTTCCATAGCACGAGCTACACGTCTCGTCACACCACCTTCAGTGACCTGGAAATTACAAAATTTAACTAATTTAATAATAATCTATACATATAATAAAATTGTAACGAAGCCGAATCTGTACAATTAATATTTTTTGGAAAATCTTATTGAAATAAACATTATTATCGATACAGAGTCAGAATCTATAGTTTTTAGAATTTTTGTCTGTCTGTCTATTACCGCATCACGAGAAAACCACTGGACAGATTTTGATGAAATTTGGTATAACTGGCTATCCGGGTCAACATAGAGGATACTTTTTACCGCGGGAAAATATCTCATTTCTGAGAAAAAATACAAAAACTGCAATGTAAGAGTATACTAATACCTAAGAATTTGGTTTTTGGTCATCTGAGCGGGCGGAGCCGCGGGCAATACTAGTAATAATAATAAAATTCTTTATTGCACATCGAAAATCTAAAATACAAAGCAAAAAACACAAAGAAAAGATGCACAGCAGGCGATTAAATTACAAATAAAAATCTAAATATTATCAATTTCGCTAATTTTAGATAGACACAATATTATAATTTTAGATAGATACAACTTATATATTTACAGCCTACATTCCACGCAAACTGATTGCAATAGGATTACAAAATAGAGATTAAATAACTGTTGTAATTTAAACCCTAATCTTATAAATTAGATCAATCTTGTGAAACTCGTTACAATACTTTGTTTCTATCCATGCTGTAAACAACTTCTTTGTAAATTGATAATACATTATTTATTAAAACAGGTACCTATATATATTGTGCGCCTTTTACATGATAGGTGTCAGCTTTAATTCGTATCGTGGCAATTGTTCCACAGCATCATTTATAACAATTAGTTGTCTGCATCATGTCTAGTTGAAAATATTGAAGTTAGTTAAATAACGTACACATTCTCGTAGTGACCTTCATTTATAACAGGTATGTATAATAATAATAATAATCTTTATTTCAGACGTAAAGTCTATCCATATATTGTTAATTGGTTAGTAACAATTATACTTAATACTATGTTAGTATTGTTAGTATTTTTTGCATAAAATATTACTTATTTTATTTTTTATTTATCTTAGCCCAATGGCCAACTCCATCCAGTGTTTCTGAAAGGGGCAGTCCATTCTGGCCGAAATACACTTTAAAATACTGTTGTTGCTTTCGCGTAGACGCTGCATCAAAGAAATAGCTTTCTTGCGCATAATGGCACGAAACCCATCTGTGTGTGCCTCTGCGAACATCTTTGAAGCACTACAACGCCACGGCAGCCCCAACAGCATTCTAAAGGCATTATTATATTGCACACGCAAGGCGTTGTAGGCCCGGCGCGAATATGCCACCCACAAACTACAGGTATAAAAGGACCTTTGCAAAAAAAACGGGCACTTTTGATTTATTCGAGTACTTTTAGTATTAACAGTTGTAAAAGGGATTTGATGCAACAAAATAAAATAAATTTTATTTACTGATGTAAAAACACTTTTGTTTGGTAATTAAGTCGATCTTAGTTTGTTTTATTTTGATTTTTAGGAAATTTTGACAAAAAAATAAGGTAACTTCAATTTACTTTCTCCTTTATTTACTAAAACTTACAAACAATAAAATAAAAAATTAATATTGATTGTGGCCTCTTCTGGCTGAAATAACTGCTGCAATTCTTCGTGGCATGCTTTGGACGAGTTTTTTTATGAGTAGGTACTTGGGGAATACGCTCCCATTCGGCCGTAATAGCAATATTAAGCTCTTGGATGTTCTGTACGGCTGGGTGTACAGCTCTAACACGTCGTTTTAGAAGGTCCCATAGATGCTCAATGGGATTGAGGTCGGGACTTCGTGCTGTCTAATCTAAACGGCGGATCCCGACTTCACATGTACAATGTAGGTATTAAAAGACTATATTATGTGATAATAATTGAGAAAATTATTAGTTTATATTAAAATATATGATCATTTGGTTATGTCACTGACGAAAATCTATTAAAAATATACGTATGCGTTACTAATTTGCGTTATATATAAATTCACATTTTAAGAGATTTTGATGGAGTTTCTAGGGGCAGTTACATATTAAAATTAGGTTATAAATCACTCTTCATTATGTATCTAGTATAACTGAAATAAGCAAATCTACAGTGGTAGGCGATTAAAATCTAAATTACATACCCTACATAGATAGTAATATATACACATACGTATGAATACATATACAATATGTATATATATCGAAACCGCCAACTTATTACTGGTTTAACTAATGGATCAAGGTGATGTAAGTATCGGAGAAATAAATGACGTCACCTACCGACTGAAACCAAAGCTAAGGTCGCTAACAATTCAACCCACTGATCTGCAAGTACATAACGAATTCTGATTATAATGCATAACGGTCAATATACGAACATATATACTTAGAGTTCATTAGAAATGTGTGAATTTTAAATATATGACCAGTGTGCGAAGAACGGATGTAAGAAGCGGGGGCCGCGGCTATGAGACGATGCATGGTCGTTGACATTTGCAAAGCCTGAGAGTAACGCTTTACATTCATAATTAGATGACGTTAGAAAAAGAAATCACTTCGAATAACCCCGATTCGTAAAAAATACTGAGTCACATCTCATTGAGGTAAATCAATATCTACATATTTTGAATATATGTAAGTACTTATGACGCACAATAAACTAAATGATGATAATTCATAGTTAATATATGTAATATTTAAGGAATATACACGATATATAGGTACGTGAACTATAAGTATTAGATCACGCTCTAAAACAAGACTCCCACACAGGATATGCTTAACTGTAAGGTTGTCTATACATATAATAAAATTCTGAGTCGAATCTGTACATTAAATATTTCTTGGAAAATCTTGTTAAAATAGACATTATTATCGATACAGAGGCCGAATCTATAGTTCTTAGGATTTTTGTCTGTCTGTTACCGCATCACAAAAAACTAATAGATAAGATGAATAACTTATTTTTAAAATTCCCTTAGTTTTTCTATAATATTTATGTATCTGAATTGCTATTTGGAACTTTATGAATTTGACCTACCTACAATAATTTCATATGTAGTATGTATATTAATATCAATTATTATACTTTACCTACTACTACTTTACCATTCTTTAAGTTCCGTTAAAAATGAATGCAACTTGAAAAATAAATGCATTCGTAAAATATAGGAAATTTGAGACCTACTTAATATATCACGCATGATGTGCCAATGATACCGTTGACAAATTATTTGTTGTTCACAAAATATATAATTATTTATACTATATATTTATATTTGGTAAACACAACACAGCCTCGAAACGACCTTTGTACAGGATTTCCGGGATATTGCACATAATTTTGACGTGAGCCGTGCCAACAGATTCCCCAAACAAAGCTTTGTACAGTACTATTATTTTATTAAAAATGAACGTACTTGGCTATACATTTGTACCTACATTGGTATATACTTAATATTAATGTTTTTAATATAAAAATATTTTAATCTTAAATAACTCTTTATTTAAACTTTTTTTTATTGTATGATATTACATATTTATTTTTATGTAGTCGTCTTTATAACAGGCATTCGTAAATATTTTATAATATAAGATTCATAAATAACAAGATAGAGGCGTTATGAGAGAAAAGTAAAAGACATCAACGCGTTAACACTCAACATTTTTTACTTCTGGAAATTGAATAAAGGAAATGTTTATTGAACAATACACGTGTAGAAGTGGGAAGTGAAATTTCTACCACTTAAAGATGTTCTAACGACTCGGAAAATACTGAACTTAGTAACTTTCTCACGTTTATCGCTTTCTCCTTCTTATCAGTTGTAATTTAATACACTTTAACACCTCCAGGTAAATGTCTAAGAAATTAATTAAATTTCTAAGAAATCTATTGTTAACTGTAACGCCGGCGTGTGTTGTTATTTAAAAATAGAAATACATTATACACGTCTGTAATTTAAATTGAATTAATAGTAAGTATGGACTATCAGGGATGTATATATGTGACTATATTATACAATATACTTATTACTTATATAGAAAAAATCTCTAGAGATTATGATACACACATTGGACGATTTAGCTACCTATAATTTACATATGTATCATAAGTATCTTATGGTCACTATTGACAATATACAATGCCAGTTAATGTTTATTTAATGAGACACATGTACATACTTCTAATAAGATTAATTCGATCTGGTTGTTAGTTGTTATTAACCGCCTTCCAAAAAGGAGGTGGTTCTCAATTCGTCGGATTTTTTTTATGTAAGTATGTTAACCGATTACTCGACGACGCCTGAACTGATTTGGATTTTTTCTTGTTACAAAGGGTATACTTCCCACGTGGTCCCATATAAATTTTATCGAAATCGGTCGAGCGGTTTTTTAAAAAAATCATTTTAAAAATAAGTTTTAGTAAGTATATATATGTTTATATTTCAATACAATTATTGTAAATCTTGTTTTAGTTTATACTAAAAAATAAAGCAACACAATAAACTGGTCCGACAAGATAAAGGATACCCAGCGAAATGGTGTTGACCTCTACAGCACTAGTGTAGATGATTCATTTTTGCCCATCAAAAGATAATAATTGCTTGGGCGATCGAACCGCGTTAAGTTTTTAAGCCAAATAAGGAAATGACAAGTTTATAGGTACTTTTGGCAATGACCGCCTGTAAACCTAAATGCCATAATCTTTTTCTTATGTACTCATAATTATGTATATAATTATTTCATTTTAACTAGGTTTGTATATGACAATATTCTATAAAGAAATGTAGAGTGTAGTTCTATCTACATCTCTGTGGAGATTGTTACAGTAGGTACGTAACAATTCACGTTTCGCTATTATATTGATATTGGACTTTATATTAAGAAAGTGAACTTTAAGCTTCACATTGAAGACATAAACACGCTTTTTGAAAAATATTTAATGCTATTGATACATATTTTTTATATTTATCAAAATAATAATAACAAAGCTTTTTCATTAAGATTGGAGCATAGGTCCTAGAAACCCCCTTACCTTTCCGTATTCAGCAGTCCCGGCCCATTCCCGGCGCCATTGACCCGCCACTTCCATTACGGTGAATTGGTTTTTTCGTTTATCGTTCGCTACAGCTACACTCGTATGTGATGTGCACTTGTAAAGTTTTGGGAAAACTTTATTTTACATGCGCTCACGTTCGATCTTTGTGGCGGCGCGAAGCCTACTGCCGGCTCTATAGGTACTTACTACTTACAGTCTATAGGCATCTATATCGCACACTTACGACGCGAAACTTTGGCATAAGTCTTTAATAACTTTATTTCTTCTGCTAGCAAAAACATTGTAGGCACCCATTCGATGTCAACGCCCACTATTTTAAGCTACTACCCAGACAAGTCGCTTCCTACGCACTTTGCGATTGCAACAGGCCAGATGGTATGCATTGCGAATTTACTGTTTAATTTAGTGTCAAATATGTTAACAATTTTTCATTATATTTGGTATTATATGTTTTTTTTTAAATCGTATTAAACCTTAAAATTTTGCAATATTTATATATAATATTTTAGCAAAAATTATATATGTGCAGTGCAACAAAAACTAAATTTTCGTGACTTTTTACTTTTAAAAAATCTTCTCGTTTCTTTTATATATTCCCTACTAGCAACATGTCTTACAGTTACTTTGCAATAAATCATTTGGATCTATTTTTGTCTAAAAGAAAGACAGGCCAAAAACATATTTTCACATATATATTTGTATAGACATTTTATTATTGCTGTCGATGTAGAAAATGTACTTTAAAACACATTACAAGTGATACTTATCATAATCATCATGTCATCCGAACACGTCCACTGTTCCCTTTAAGATTTCCACGACAACCGTTCGTGCCATCGGTATGCAGTAAATTCATGATTTCGCCAAGACATCTGTCTAGCTTGTTGGAGACCCACCCAGCTGTACCTCCTGGTACGCATTCGCCAGCCGAGAACTCCTCTCTCTCTACGAGCGGTATTACTTGTCCACTGCGGTTGCCGCATCGGATTGTAAGTTTGGTGAGCTTTGTTAGTAATTTTGGTCCTTCTGTAACCTTTTCAATATACAACATATCTTTCTCCATTATACTTTGAATAACCTTAAGCATATCTTATAAAAAATATCTTATTCATTGTGATCGGCCACGTCTTGTTTCAATAGTTAGCTACCCAGAATCAAATTAGTTGATTTACTCATGGTCAAAGTTCGATTGTTGGTACGTTGTCCTAGGTACGATATGTTTACAATTAAATTATCTAAAACATACAAACAAGACATATTTTTGGCAATAGAAAAGTATCAAATTAATATTATTTGTAGTTCCCTTCAGTAATAATTTATCTGGCCTGAAGTAAAAGAAGTAGTAAATTAAATATTACAAGATTGTGTAAGCATTTAAATTAGAATCCAGAGCTGGCAGTATTTAACTAATTTATATTTATACTAGCATTGCCCGCAGCTCCGCCCGCGTTCAGATGACCAAAACCAAATTCTCAGGTTTTACATATTAGTATACTATTACAATGCAGTTTTTAAATTTTTTCTCAGAAATGAGATATTTTCCCGCGATAAAAAGTATCCTATATGTTGACCCGGATGACCAACTATCATCATACCAAATTTCATCAAAATCTGTCCAGTCGTTTTTTCGTGATGCGGTAACAGACAGACAAAAATTCTAAAAACTATAAATTCGGACTCTGTATCGATAATAATGTCCATTTAAATTAGATTTTCCAAAAAATATTTAATGTACAGATTCGACTTAGTTACAATTTTATTATATGTATAGAAAATTGTACTTTAGGCCAAAAACTCTGACCCGGGGGAGAAGCCAACTCCTACCGGGCGCGTCCACAGGTGGCGGATAGGGGGATGCCACCCGCTTAGAGGGGCGGGTGGTACCGGAGAAATTCGGCGCGGACCAAATGGCTTGGATGGGGCCGCTCGTCTAGGCCTCGAGCCGAAGACGTTGCGGCCACCGGTGGTGGGACCGCTTGGTCCCACAACCGGATGATGGGTGCCGGTTGCGGGACTGTGGTCGCAGGCCCGCATTCGGCGGAGGGGTAGGCCGCGGCGGGAGAGGAGTGCCGGTATTTCGGTGCGCCGTTCTCCCTACCTTCCGCGGCCTAGACGGGGCCGCCACCGTTTGATGGCGGACGCGGTGGGGCTGCAGGGGAAGAGGAGTGTCGGTGTTTCGTTGCCGCTCTCCCTGTCCTCTGCAGCCGATTGGAGGTGGCCCACTTCGGTGGGCGGTGTTTTGGTTTTATGGGGCTGCTCCGGGTACCTCTCTGACGTAGCAGAGTTGACTGTGGAGCAGCCCCATTGGTTTGGTGGTCTGCCTAGTATTTAGGCAGACCTGCCGCCGGGGCGCCGTAGTAGTTATGCGCAAGCGATCCTGCGGTGTCCCACTAAGGCGGGGGGAAGGGATGTCGGGTTTTAGTGGGTAGTACCGGCTCTTCTAGCCGGTGAGCCCCACATCACCACCTGGGGGATCAGGTGGTATGCGTAAATGCATTTCCCGACGATAAAAAAAAAATGGCCAAAATCTCTGAGCGACACTCGGTAGTATATAAAAATATCGATATTTTTGATTCGATATATCGTTATTTTTAACCGATATATTTTGATCCGATACATCGATATATTGATACAAAATATTTAATATCGAAAATCGTATCATAAACGATTTTTTTTCCAATTTAACTTATCAGCGGAATAATAGAAGTAAACTCGAATTTCAGATTTGACTCCCAAATGTCAAGATTCCTTTTATGTAACTTACACAGGGAAAAATAAATTTATCAGTTAAAGTTTGCTTTTGTAAGAAACCAGAACAATATTTTGGATACTAAGAAAAACAACCTATTCTCTCTATCTCATCGTTTATTGCAAATAGATATTAGACAAAGTTAATTTTTAAAATTAAGACAATTTTAAAAAAATAAATAAACAGATTCTATTAGACTACAACTACAAAATAAATTGAATACTAAATTTAATAAAATTTGTATTTTATGTATTTCTTCTATGTTCACATGGATTTTTTTGCACCAAGACAAATCCAAATGTAAACTTGCATCATATTTTCACTATAACTACTATGTAGGTTCTGCTCCTGATATTGATGTATAAAATTCATGATCTTAGCGAAAATATCAATTAATAAATTACATCGAAAACAATAGTAAAATATATTATGTATATTTGGATTGGCCCAAATCCCATAATTTAAAATCATAAAATGCCAGTGTATTTAAAAAAAACCGAATTTTTTGCTATAAACTGGTCTTTAAATGATTAAAATATATGTCTAGTAGATAAGTATTTCCCTTCCTTATTTCAGTAATGTTAAGGAAAGCATTATGTTTGTCTTTATTTCTAGTATTATTTGTTCTATAAAATAAAGCAATAAGCATGTCTTCCTTTTGATTGCTAAGACAAAAATTGTAGAAATGTTTTTGTTCACAATTAAAATTCTTGCTCAGGCCATCTTTAAAGTATCTATAAAACAGTTGTTGACCACAATCGCACATTTCTTCAACATCTGACCATTCTGTCTCAGTTAAACCAAACAGTAGACCTACAGTTCTTCCTTTTACAAAACAAGTTACTTGTCCTGATTCATCACCAACTTTCAAAATTGCAGTAGATGAAACATTATTTGGTTTAAAACGATTTATTTTTACACATTCTATGAAATAATCTGTCAAAACACCCCAACTTTGAGTATTCAATTTTAAATATCGGCTTTCAGTTAATTTTATGGGACTAATACTTTCGAAAAAGATTTTGTATTCTTCTTCTGACTTATGAATTTTCATTACTTGAAAAATTTTAATTTGTATACAGTTCATAGATCTTATTATAAATTAATAACATTTGAAACTGAGTTTTACATAAATTTTCGAATTTAGTAATTTTTTGTTAAATGAAGATTTTGTCAGTTGTCTTTCGATAGACTTGACACAGACAATTGAAATATGTAGACAAAGATAATGTATTTTGTCAAACGCCATTAAAAAAGAAAAACGCGTCACTAAAAACACTAATAACTGTTCTAAAAAAATTAAAATATAAAAATTATGTGGACTATGTGACTCAAAACACCAGATATATAAAAAACTGACACAACGAGGCAAGAGTTATTAGTATTATATTAAGTATTAACTATTAATAAACTTTAATATGTTAACTACATCTGTGGTCTATCAAGTAAAGTGTAGCCAACTTAGGGGTTTTCCACCCAAATTTAGAGGTAAAAAAATGGCGCCGGGATTTTTTTAGGGAGCAAAAATATTTATGGTTTTTGTTTAGGGGTTTATAAAGTTTCGGTTAAAGACTTAGAAAAAATCTATCCCTTTTTTAATTATTTTCTATTATATTCATAGTTATCTATGGAATTTATTACAATTTTTAAATGGTTCTAAGCAATTATTATAATAATAACCTTATGGTTATATGTATTGGTATTAGATTTTTACGCTACTTGTAATCATACTTGTAATCATATATATATGTTGAATTATTTGCTGAATTACAATGTGCTTTAAATGGCCTATCTGATTCTTCTCCAGGTGAAGATGGCATTCCATATTCCTTCTTAATAAAATTAAGTGATTCAGCTAAACAGATCTACATCTCCATTATAAATTCAATTTTAGAGTCCAAAAATATCCCCCCATCTTGGAAATCCCAAGTCATTATACCAATTTTAAAACCTGGTAAAGATCCCAAAGAATCCTCGTCTTACCGTCCTATAGCTTTATCATCAACGTTGGGCAAAGTTATGGAGCATCTTATTAAGAATAGGCTGGACTGGATAATGGAAAGTAGAGAAATCCTCTCAAAGTCACAATTTGGTTTTCGAAAGGGCATGGGTACAATTGACAGTCTCAGTATTCTTATATAGGAAATACGTCTAAGTTTTTTAAGAGGAGAATACCTCGTGGGGGTCTTCTTGGATATTAGCTCTGCTTATGATTGCGTTCTTTTTCCGCTTCTGAAATCTAAAATGCTTTACTTAAATTTACCGCCAAAATTAACTAATTTTATTTTAAATCTTTTTATTGGAAGATCGATTCGAGTGAGATATCAGGGTGAACTTCTTCCCCCTAGATCAATTTGGAAGGGTCTCCCGCAAGGTTCAGTTCTTAGCCCCATTTTGTATAGCTTTTACACTCATGATCTTGATAAATCTGTAGATAGTTTCTGTAATATTTTGCAATATGCGGATGATATTGTTTTATTTTATAGTTCAAAGGATATGACTGAAATTGTATCTAGATTAAATTCTGCTTTGTATTATCTGGGAGAATGGCTGCAGTCACATGGTTTACTTTTGTCAGTTCCGAAAAGTAGTGTAGTTGTTTTTACTAGGAAGAGACATATCCCAGAAGTTAACATTTTATATAAGGAACAAACCATTCCTGTTCTAAATTCTGTAAAATTTTTAGGTATTTTCCTAGACTCTAAATTATTAGGTACCACTCATATAGATTATATCTCCAAAAAAATGTGAAAAGAATATTCAAATTTTACGTGCATTATCAGGAGTGTGGTGGAGTTCCCATCAATACTCCCAAAAAATTTTATATAACGCTATTATTCGTAGCCATTTTGATTATGGAGTATTTCTATTAGATCCATGCAATAAAACAGCACTAGAAAAATTGAACAAAATCCAATACAAGGCACTAAGAATAATAGTAGGTGCCATGAAATCATCACCCACAAATGCTATGCAGGTTGAGTGTGTAGAGCCTCCACTTCATCTTCGCAGACAATATCTTTCTGATCGCTTTATTTCCAAAGTTTTACAATCTTCATGTCATCCGTTATTACGTTCCCTCAATCATTTATTACAAATTATTGAACCTAATCAACAAATTCCATGTATTATTAAAAGTTTCCAAAAATTTTTAGAGCTTCCTGCGCCTATTTTTAAACTTAACATTAACCCCTTGTACTCAGTACCTTTTCCTTCGCTTACCTTTGTTCCTTCAATCATAACGAATCTGGGAATTGGCAAAGGTGACCCTGGGGCCAATGTTAAATTTAAGAGTATTTTGGATAATGATTGGTCTGATTATATTAAAATATTTACTGATGCATCCAAAATTACTTGTGAGTCTTGTGTTGGGGCTGCTTGCTGGGTCCCTCGATTCAATATTATACTAAATTTTAAGTGTCCTCCTGAAGCTTCTGCTTTTTCGGGAGAGTGTATAGCTCTGCTTGAAACCATTTTATTTGCAGAATCACATAAAATGTCAAAAGTCATTATCTTCACAGATTCTTTAAGTTCCCTTCAGAGTATCTTACGAAACCCTTTCCGTAGTAAATCAAGGTTTGTTATTATATTTAAAATTAGAGAAGTTCTCTTTCGTTGCCATGAACAGGGAATCCTCATAACCTTGGCTTGGATCCCTAGTCATTCAGGTATTATCGACAATGAAATTGCTGATAGCTGTGCCAAATCTGCAACGGTTAGCGGAATTTTAAATCATTATTATAATTACTCCCATGACTTGCGTTCTTTGTCTATAAAAAATCTTAACACTTCCTGGAACACATTTTGGAACGCTTCTATAACAATTAAAGGTAAGTATTATGCTTCAATCCAACCGGAGGTTCCAGTCTCCCCGTGGTTCTTTCGATTTCGCCGTGCTGACCGCAAAACCACCTCAATTATATGTAAGCTTCGTCTAGGCTATGCGTGTACTCCGGTTCATTTAGCAAAATTAAAAATTAGAAATAGCTCTATTTGTGAATGTGGCTTAGATGAGGGTTCCACTGATCATATTCTCTTTAATTATCCCAAACTGAAATATTCTCTATATGATATAATCCCTCCTCAAATTCACCGCCCAGTTAACACCAAATGTTTATTAGCCCTTGTATTTAGCCCATTTATTAAAAAACTAGTTAAATTTATAGTAGATAATAAAATTAAATTATAATATAGTTCTCATTATGTATATATTTTTTCATTCTCAATCAATGTCATTTTTTTATTACGTAATTATTTTTCTATTGTTATAGGTTAATCTTGTAGACCGATCATTCATTTATAGTTTTTATTCCACAATAAAGTTACCAAATTTCAAAATTACCGCTCAATCTCATTCGTGTCTTCCTCACAAAACGTGACACTGGCAGAATGGAATAAAAAAAAAAGAAATTACTTTTAGGGGGATAAAATTTCAAGTGTTGGCAGCATTGATCAAATGTCATCTCATCTGTCTGATAGGACTGTTGATATTTTTTAAAATATCGGATTTTCGATATATCGATATTTTTAAATATATCAATATCGAAGCTTGATATATCAAAAAAATATCGATATTTCGATATATCGGCTTTATTTAAAAAAAATAATTTAAGGCAGGTCAAAAATGATTACACAGTTTATAGTTTAGTATATTTATTAAACAAATTAAATTATAAATGTATAAAAGTGTTAGGATATAGTTCTTAGTAATTATTGTTTAATTTAAGTGAGACAATCATGTGTACCAATATTTTTTAGTAAGAGTTTTTAAAAATACTCTTTGTTTTATATGTTCAGCTGTTTGACTACAACGATTATTAGGCACTAACAGATTAATTGTAGAAGCAACTCGTTCAGATGCTACAGATGTAGCAGAAGAAAATGATATCCGTATCGAAAATGAGATCAAAATGATATCCGTATCGAGTTATCAGTACAATATACAGATTCATAAAATATATGGTTTCGATATCCGATATCAAAAATCGATATATAGTTTCGATTCGATATTCAGCAAAAGCTATATCACCCACTCCTAGTGACAACAAACAACTGTAAGTAAAGTAGATACTCCATATTTTTATTTGTCATCCATGCTCCATATCATAGATTATAGTAATTTTTATACCACTGAGGTATATCTATACAAAATTACATTTCGCTTAAGATAATAAGTAAATAAGTTAACTAAGAATAGAGAAAAAACATTATATAGTAAAGTAATGAAGTGTAGTAGATTAGGTTTACGATGATTTTGTAGATTAAATAATTTACGAAAAAAAAATTACAAATCAATATTTATTTAAAAAAAATATCGACCATCGATATCTACATTTCAATATCGAACTATCGATATATCGTCCAAAAAAAAATTAGTAATAAATTTCGATATTTCTAAATGATAATATCGATATTTCGATATATCGATACTTTATCAACAGCCCTACTGTCTAAATTCTAAATCCTAGATATTAATTTCACTTTGAAGGTTATAACTTGGTGATTATCCAATTATTTATTTCTAAAACGAAAATCTTTTAAATTTGTGACTATCAAAAAATGTCAAGAGATCAGCTCTTAATATGAGAATTGGATGGTTTCAAAAATTTGTAAATAAATGGCCCGGGAAGAAGAAATTTGGTATTTATAGATTTCTTCCTATGTTTTTTGTTTTGGGTGCAGCATTAGAATATTCAATGATAAATTGGAAAGTGGGTGAAGTGAATTTTTACAATACTTTCAAGAAAAGACAAGCTAAAGATATTGTCGAAGAAAAAATTAAGAAGTACACGCTAAGTTAAAAATGCCTGCTGGTGTAACATGGGGTCAGTATTTATCCTTTTCAGTCGCTGCGATGGTCTCCATGATAGCTGGTTCACAAATAGTTCACATACACTATCAACCCTTAGCAGATCTTAATAACTATGTAAAGAAAGAATTACAGAATTTACCTGACAATATTCAGGAAAAAATAAGAAAGGAACTCAAAGAAGAAGGTATATTAAAATGAATCCTTATTTTTCTATAAAAGTTGTATTAGTACTGTTGTTATTTAAGATGTAATTAAAAGTAGTAACTAAATATTGTTTCATTTTTATGTGTTTTTTTTTCACACTTTTCAATTATAAAATGTGAAAGGTTGTGTGTTTTTGTTACTATTTCATACTACAACTAGCTCTAATGGAATAGAGTCAAATTCAGAATAAAACATGGCTTGTGGCAAAGTTCTTACCATACATGTGGAGTCAATAGAAAAATGAATTTTATTATAGGAAATAACAAGTCTATTGATAAATAAAACTGCTAAGCTACAGGCAGTGTAAACATAAAATATTACTGACACTATAAATGTAGATAATTGTGTGCATATTACTTAATATATTTATAACTAGCATTGCCCGCGGCTTTGCCTGCGTTCAGACAACCAAAAACCATATTCCCGCAGTAAAAGTATCCTATATGTTGACCCGGAAAACCAGCTATCATCATACCAAATTTCATCAAAATCCGTCCTGTGGTTTTCTGTGATGCAGTAACAGTCAGACAGACAGACAGAGAGACAAAAATTCTAAAAAGCATAGATTCAGTTTCTGTATCGATAATAATGTTTATTTCAATAATATTTTCCAAAAATTATTCAATGTACAGATTCAGGTTAGTTACAATTTTATTATATGTATAGATGTATGTATTTAAAGTAATATATGTGTAGTGTATCAACTATCTGGTAACCATAACTCGAGCCTCGTAGCTTACTATAGAACTAGATGGTGCTGTGTGTTAATGTCCCAACATATTTATTTGCTAGAACAGCAAGCAAAGTGAGGTTAATTTAAACTTTAACACTTGTATTTAACCAAAAATTAAACTTCATGATTATATAAATTAATTTTAATAACAATTTGGTATTATTTTGAAACATATTTACAAATAAATTTACACATTTTCATGTTATTACTTATATAACTAAATTTAAAAAAATAAATCATACATTTATTACAAGAGTTAATTAAATATTATGCTATTTCATAAAAATAGGTACATTCATTGAAATAAACTTAGTGGTCCATTCATAGTTTAAAAGTTAACATGATGGCGTTTCGTTAGCTTATTTCTTAAAAATATTTTATTTGTAGTACATACCTACTGATATATAACATAAAACTAAGGACTTAAGTTATTTTTTTATTTTTTTTTATATTTCAGTGTTTATCACATAATAATAATAAAGAAACACTTGATAGGTATTTACACCTAAAATATAGATACATACATAATTGACAAGATATACATATAACAGTTGATTGTTATATTAATATTTATTAAAAAGGATTTTGCAGTCTTTTAAAAATTATATACTTATATTAAATATGTACCAATAAATTAGGTCACCTTGCCGAATTAGAAATGGTTCTACGAATCCAATCTATATGAGAAGTAAGAGCATCATATATTCGAGGTCGGCCGAGTCCAATTTTTGAGCAAGCGATACGCCAACTACTTACACCAATCAATGACCAGTGTTTAGATTTCTCTTCAAAGCACATCATAGAGCTTCCAGCATATTCTTCTTCCTAAAAATGAAAAGAAATTAAAAAAAAAGAAAAGATTAATTTTAATAATATTAATCATTTTATGCATTAGATGCTTTTAGTTGGTGTCCTTCAGCCACGTATTTAACGGTCACATAGAAACAAAATAAAAGTAATGTTTAAATTTTAAAGATATTACAAATGTATGTTAAGTACTGAAAAATGTTCAGCATCATCAGTCATAAAGGCGCCTTTAAGCCCTGGAAATCATACATTTCTCGATAAATATCGTATTTAGGTGACTTCTATATCTAAAAAGGTCAATTTTAATCAGTGATCATCGTTTGACTTCTTTAAATAATTATCATTTTGACTTTCAATTATTGTGTACTATACGTATATAATAAATACGTTTACGCTACAAGTTACGAACGTTAGTGATACGAACTATTGTAGTTAAGTTATAAGTAAATTTTGAATGCAAAATTAATATAATATAAATTTTGAATTTATAAAATTTAAAATAATTTAAACGATAAGAGGCGATAGCTATTTTACATATACATATATTTAACTGTTAGTATGGAATAGACAGACTATATATTATATGACATATAGCCTATAGCCTTCCTCAATAAATGGGCTATCTAATGCAAAAAGAATTTTTCAAATCGGACTAATAGTTTCTGAGATTAGCGCGTTCAAACAAACTCAGCCTCTTTATAATATTATAGTATCAGTAGTAAAGCAAAATATAAAGGTACATACGTCGCAATCATCTTGATCATATAATGGTTCGGCACATATTCCATTTCCAGTAGCTATGCTAACATTTTCACAGGTATTCATAGAAGTAGGTACAACATGCACCCTCTGTAACTGGTCACGGTTTCTAGTCCAACCTAAAGTATTACAGACGCTATGTTCATCAGTTTTGTAGACATTTTCCGGCAAACACGCAGGACGAACAAAGTCGGTCATCTCAACAGGTTCCTCCAGTCGTACCATAGCTAACATACTTCCTTCGACGGGGGAACGAACCATCCCGACTATTCGTTGTTCCTGTTGCCAAGGTGTAGTGCTTTGGATTCTTACTGTACCTAACCTCACTGTCCATTCAGCTTTCGGTTGACCCTGGAAATTCATTAAAAAATGTATTTAACATGAAGATTCCTATAAAGTATAGAGTCATAAGCGTAGTAAAATGAATAAATACTATTATAAAATTAACAATAATAATAATAATGTCCTGATCGACTTCGGCCACTGCGGCCAATCTCACTGAGAGTATCCACGTGCGCAGGAGATATTACAGTGCACAAGTGTAGGCGCAGACACAATTGGGCACTTTCTATTCTTCTTTCAAATTTCGATGGGATGATAACTCGACAGATCAGGCTTAGGACGGTAAGACCGATGGCTTTACGTACTTTCCGAGAGGGCACGGGGGTGTTATACCGACAACGTATAAACTCCGTTTTTACTAATCGCTGTTCTTCGCTTTTTATAGCTTTTACTGAGAATTTCTTAGTGGAAAAACTCAACTCACAGCCCGACCCGGGCCTTGAATCCATGACCTTCAATTTGCAGCCTTACATGCCAGCCACTAGACTACCGAGGTAGTTAAAATAGTCACATTAGAAAAGTAATTTACCTGGAAACAGGAAGCAGTAGTAATAAGCCAGTTGGGGTGTATGAGGACGCCATCACAAGCGTGCACGTGAGAGCGAAGCAAGGCCGCGTGCCACGGCCAGTCTCCCGGCCGCGCCGACCTCGGCAGGCCTTCTACGCCGAGCGACGCTTGAGCTCCTCGAGCTGACGTCACACCACATTCTGAAATTTTGTAATATTTTAGATATAAAAAATAACAACTACATACTAATACTGATAACAAATAATTAATAATCCACAGTACAGTAAATATATAAATAGAATTGAAAACATCCAGATTAAATTTAATAAGCATTTATTATATAGATCAAAAAACAATAATCAGGAATTTCCTAATTTAGTCTCCCTATTGGATCGCCGACGCCTAAAGGATGAACTTTTTCTATTTAAAATTATCAGAAATCATGTGCATTCACCATTTCTTTTAAGTAATATTTGTTTAAGATGTCCTCGACCGCAATCACGTAATTTGTCATTATTTTATCTACCTAGAATAACAACTAATTATGCACGTAATAGCTTTATATACCGTTCTTGCAGATTGCATAATGAAATATTTAATGACATAGATTTATTTTCCCTTTCTTTAAATAAGTTCAAAATTTTAACCAGAAGTGTCTGTTCGTGATTTCCCCGTTTCTTTTTTGTTATATACTTTAATTTTTAATTTTAATAAGCTAACATATACCTACCTTAAGAATGTGTAAACGGTGAAGACTTAATTGGTGTTTGTATTTTTTTTATTTCTTTTGTTTATAATATGTAACATAATACTGTTTGTCTTCCAAATAAATAAATAAATAAATAAATAAGTGACTAGTTATACTTCCATTGTTAATCCCATTAATATTACAAATGTGAAAATTCGGATGGATAGATGTTTGTTACTAAAACACGGCTGAACGGATCTGGATGGAATTTGGCATAGGGACAGGCACATGGGTTAATTTTTATCCCGGAAAAATGTACAGTTCCCGTTTGTTTTTCACTAGGGACAAACCCGAGCGAAGCGAGGGTGAGTTGCCTATTATCCTATAATTCCTATTGAAATATATGGCGGTCATTTTATCCAAGTGATTCTCATGATTGATCTACATCTACGTACGATTATCTTTATTGATTCATATTTAAGGTATCTTTCATTGTATGTAAATTAATATTTACAAAGAATGCAAGATAGGCTTAAATATAGTATTCCTTACGGAATATAACTTTTTAATTTATCGCGTTTCATAATTATGTAATAATTACGATCAAAGGATGTTTTAATTACACTACTTAATACATGCTTTGATCCTTATCTTATGGTTAGGAATAGCTTTCAATGGAAAACTAGAGAATTTAAACCCCTACTGCTGTTCGTACTTCGTTCATTTAATAAAGTTATTATAATATATATAATTTGTAAGTATAGTTAAAAGAAAATTTCAAGCGGTGCGTCGTGGGATCGTATTATTATATGAAACACTAGCGACTCACCCTCGCTACGCTCGGGTTCGTCCCTACTTACGGTTTAGTATAGATTTATCAGAAATGAGATATTTTCCCGCAGTAAAAAGTATCCTATATGTTGACCTGGATAACCAGCTATCATCATGCCAAATTTCATCAAAATCCCTCCAGTGGTTTTTCCGTGATGCGGTAACAGACGGACAGACACAAAAATTCTAAAAACTATAGATTCCACCTCTGTATCGATAATAATGTCTATTTCAATAAGATTTCCCAAAAAATATTTAATATACAGATTCGGCTTAGTTACAATTTTATTATACTATGTATAGATTTTATATTTTAAATGTATATTATAAATTATAGTATGTCTTGTTGTCGTGTCATTTAGTTATATTTCGCTTACCCAATTGATCACAGACAATTTTGATCACTTTCCGTTGCGGACATTCACTTTTGATGAATGCAATTTCTGGCGCCGACGGGTCAACAACCTCTACATACTCTGGTATTTCTTTGCGTACTTTATCTTGTATGATTGCTTCTGCGGAATTTTCATCTGACTCGATTTCGGCGTCTGGCACGGCTTCCGCTGAGATAGCAGTTCTGTTACAATAAAAACAAATTATCAAATATGAAGGTACATTGCATATGATAAAAACAAATTAAAATTAAATATGTTATAAATCAACACAAACAAAACAAAGTAGACAGACTAGGCAATAAAGCCCCGTTGACACGATCAAAGTCTACTTTGACAAAGTAGTTTTGATTACTATTTTGATGCAACTTAAACAACTAAACGAGCAATGAAAGCGCGCTTTGACGTCGGCGGTCAAAGTGGACTTTCTCAAAGAGAACTTCGTTTTAAAGCTTTTTGTCAAAGCAGACACTAAAGGTCTCCAAGTAAACTTTGATCGAAGCTACTTGATCGTGTCAACGCGGCTTTAAACATTACAATAGAAATAATTTATTTATTTATGCACCAGAAATAAAACAGAAGTGAAAACAGATACCATGTGTACAAAGGATGACTTATCTCTTTAAGAGATCTCTACCAGAAACCCTCAAGCGTGAGAAAACATAAAAATAATAATGCGGTGTAGGTACAAACTACAAACATCAATTATAATATGAAAATACACATATAAAAACATACATACTTATACGTACATAGATACTTTAAAAGTTAATTTACTTTGAAAGTTTAAAAAAGCTCGATGTTACTAAATGTTAGTGCTGAGATTAGACTTTAGACGGGTGATTGTCTATTCGACATGTTTTGCACATGTGTGGTGTGCACAGAAATCTTAATAATAAGGTAACCTTATTATTAAGATTTCTGTGGTGGTGTGCCCTCTCTTAGCTACCGCTATCTAAAATTTTCGTAGAGAGAGAGAGCTACGAGATTTCGAGAATTCTGGTAAACTCGCTTTCGTGAACGGCTCAAAAATCTCGTACAGATTTTCATACAGCCTATGCAATCAGTAATAATGAAAACACAAAATTGCTTAATGTTTGATTTAGTAGCATAAAAGCAGTGGTAGCCCAATGGTAACACGCCCGTTTAAATACCAAGCAAAGCAGAATTAAAATCCGGGTCTCGAACCTCTGGTATTTTTACATGAGAAACATCGTGAGGTAACCTGCATGTCTCAAAAAGCCTAACTAGTTTTCAAAGACATGCGAAGTCCGCAAACCCGCAATTGGTCAATGTGATCTGACCTTGGCACTATGTATGACCTGTTTCCCTTCGCATTGAAGGGAAGAACGTGCTCAGCAGTGTGATGTTAAAGAGGGCTCAATTTTTTTTTAATTCTTTATTTTTATAGAGGGATTTTTTACAAAGCGAATATGTCACCCTCATCATTGCTTACAAGTACATACATATAATATAAATAACAAATTCAATTACTTCTAAGCTTAATGACTAATTTAACTAATTTATAAAGCATCTTAGCTTTCTTAGAAAAAGGATTAGCTAAAATACTATTAGAATATCCTACATTGTTTCCACGTTGAAGTAATATCAATGATCTTTGAACTTTAACTCGATCACATTCTTCTAATACATGATAGACAGCTTCTACTATACCACACACGGCACAATTGGGACAACTTACTTTGCCCATCATGTAACCAAAACTATTTATAGAGATGTGACCAGACCGAATGCGAAATGCAATGATAACCTCTTGTCTAGGTATTTATCTTTTCTAATTCAAACCATAGTGAACCCATAAGTTTAGGCTGAATAGTTTTGTACCAGATTAATGAAGGCTCAATGCAAATATAAAAGTTAAAGCTTCAATGGAAATAGAATAAATAACATACTTAAAAGTAAGTGCGGTGCAGAGAGAGGTAGCCACGTTCATGAGAGCGCGTTTGTCATCTTCATAGGGCGCTGCGCAGATCTTGCCGGCGCGGCCGCGCTCCGCCCACAGCGCGTAGCCGGCGCGACTGCGCACCGCGCCTAGCGTCGTCTCACTGGTCTCCCGCTTCCATGTAGCGAGGGAACGGGATATCCATACTGAAAACATTTTTATATACATAGGTATTATTACATTAGGTTAAAGAGCCGTAGAGTCCAAAATTACTGAAAATATATTGTCGTCTACACTAGGAAAGTAATCATGTATTGAACAATTTTCTTTGGCATTTTTAGTAACACTAATATCGTCTAATAGAGGGGTAAGTCTATTTTTTTTTCTTTGCGCTATAAATATATTTATTATTTATACTGAATCAATGTGCTACGGTTTGGTAAAGTTATATATTGTTTTAAGTTAATATTATAAGATCAGACTAGAGAATTAATCGAAAAAGGGTAATCACTAATCAAAATAATTGATAGCTTTATACGATGTAAATAAGCAACGTGCAAGTGAAGAAAATAAAGATTCTTCTAAGATTAAGATTCTTCTAACAAAGATGCTTCTAAGGCAATAAAATCTTACAGCATCCACTTTCATCGCTGCCGTCGGCACAGTCGGGCGTGCCGTCGCAGCGCAGGTGCGCGGGCAGGCAGCGCGGCCACAGCGCGCAGCGCAGCGCGCCCGCGCCCGCCGCCGCGCAGTGCGAGCACGCGCGCTCGTCCGCCGCGTCCGCGCAGTCGGGGATCGCGTCGCACGCTCGCCGCGATAACGCCAGCCGTTGCAACCCACCCACGCAGTCTGTTTTAAAGAAAGCTCCAATGATTAATACCATGTAAAATTTCGTGTAATATCCTAGCGGCTTATTATCGCTTTGCTCGGGTGCGTCCCTAGACACAGTAATACCGTAACAGTAAACATATTCTATCTGTGTAATAAATATGAATCAAATCGGTCCAACCGTTTTAGCGAAAAGAAGTAATAAACATACATACACATATACAAATCTTCATATTGAGTATTTATTGTATCGTCGATATGCACAGTGCACTAGCCTCCTTTTTTGTTGCCAGTTTTGTGTTTTTTTACCTTAATAGGTACTCATTATTTAATGTATATGGCATGAATTATTAGAAATACTTATAATTATTTTAACCTGGTTCTGGAGAACACGATCCTGGTCCATAGTATTCGGGAAATCGCGCACAATCGAAGTGTGGTCGCAGACGATCAGGCAGGCGAGCCCCGCAGCCGGCGTGAAAGGCACGGCAGTAAGCGCGGCACGGACGTATCAGTCTTTCGTCTTCACATCGTGGTTGTAACATTTGGCAGACAAAATCCTATGTAATAAAAACAGAAATAAAAATTACAACTAAAATAAACAAAAAAATTGCTTTTACAAATATTTGTACAATTAACATGAAAATAATAATTCTAGGAAAATAATTTACAATTGTTTTTTGTCAAGACCAGAAAAGAATTAAAGTGATGATTGTTACTTTAAACTTTTAACTAACATGAATACCTACATTTTATAAGCATAAGGTAAATCAATATTATATTATTACATAGACTCGATTTGCCTTATAATGTTGTTTTTACGAACACTACTACTAATCATCAATTTAATTCTTTTTAAAACTAGCGAACTGTCAAAACTGGGTTATAAAAAAAGACATTAAAATACTTCTTGCCGAAATCGAAACTAGCAAAAAAGGAAATTACCTGCGCTAAAAGAGAGCATTCTGCGTCTAACAGTTCCCTGAAGGCGACGAGATCACGGAGCAACACTTCTTTATTCGTGTGCCCAACTAAGTTTGGATATGCCGTGGTATTGTAAGGTAGATGTGAACATAACGATAATGTTAACGGAGAACATTCTCGAAGATCCTCGATTTCGAACGTTATCGACTCTGTTGTGGGTACGTCAGTAATTGAAATATCACTTTCCATTAAAGGTTGCGAAGAAATCATAGAGCTTTCCTGCAATACAGATAATAAGGTTACAAATATAATTTAAATGAAACAATTTTTGAAAATTTAAAATAAAAAATAGTACCTCAATATGTAGCGTTGCTGGCAATACACCAATGGATTGAAAATATGGAGTTAAAATTTCCTTTGACATAACAGCAGTAACTTCAGAAGTGCTTACTGCTGTAAAAATAGGCTCGAAGGATACCTCAAAGTGCACACGAGTCCCGTCTGCCGTGCTAAAATTATAATTAAAATATTTTTCGTCAAAATAATCAACATTATGTATAATTTTAATGAAATAGACAGCTTTTTTCATGTACCGTTTGTATGTGTTTGTATGTGTTTTACCTACTAGGTATCATTACATCATATAACATTACTTTATAATTAGTATTTTACGGTGTGTTTAATAAATAATATTTGATCATTTTAACGCACTTAGGTATGACGACCTGTGGCGTATCTAGGCGGAAGCGAAGTGGGCCCTCGCCCACAGCCTCAATAAATGCGATGCCCCCAGACTTTTTCACAGATGAGTTATAAATTTGATTACTTTTACGCTCAAAAAAAAATGTCCCAAATTTAAAAAGTGTATGTTTGGGGTCGCGCTAGAAGCACGCGACTGCGAGGCCGTTGTAACTACCTCCAAAGACCGCGATCATTACATTGATTGACAAAATACGAGACTTGTTAGGAATTAATAATGTTTTTCGCATATTAGATTAAAAAATGCTTATAAAAGTCGATTTGAATAAAGTATATTTTGATTTGATTAAATCACGCATGTTACAAAATAAAATCTTTTATTCAAATCTATATGCTTTTCAACATTCTCATTATGACTAGTACCTACCTGTACCTGTACCTATAAATAGAAGATATATATATATATATATATATATATATATATATATATATATATATATATATATGTAGATATTTTAAAATAACTTATACCTTAAATTAATTATTTAAGTTTTACTTTAGAGCTTTTAATTGGTCTATTACCTTAACTGACTTTATATTTATTTTGTCGAAAGCTTTATAATAACAAATGTGTAGTCGTCTGTTCTGTTAGTAAAGTATGTCAGCGAAGTGCAGTAATCCGTTTACATTAACCACGATGTGATACTTTGTGTATCATATTGACACGGGAAAGTTATGCGTGCTTGGGTTTCTAAGCTTTGAACTTTCTACGCTACTTATATTGTTCAGTCAAAATCAAGGTCATTTTGGCCCTTCCTTCTTGTGATTTGAATATTAAACGCAAAATTTCTTGTAGTATAAAGATAATGGATCTACGCTTGTTAGAGAATATATACATATTTATATTTTACACTAATTGTATTATTTATAAAAGTAGGTAGGTACATGAATAACCACAAACTTTCCAAGTAGAAAGTAATAAAACATAATATTTACGTTAAACTGCTTCAACTATATAAGCAGTTCTAGACTCTAGTAAAATCAAATTAACTATTTTTAATTTCATTTATCTTTGTTTTTATATTAAAAAAATAAATGTAAATAAATAACGATTAGAGTCTATTATAGAGGGAGATATGTCTTCAGCACTTTTTAACGTCCCACTACTGGACACGGTCCTTTCTTCAACACGCTGGCCAAATGCGGGTTGGCAGACTTCACATGTCTTTAGAAAACTGACTAAGTTCTCTCAGACATGCAGGTTTCCTCACTGTGTGGTAATCATGTTGGAAATGATTCGCACATACAAATATGAGAGATGCGAGACCAGTGATTTGAGCCCGCTTCACTCATTTTTTCAAGCGTGCGCGTTACATCTGGGTTACTGTCTCATAATGAGATATGGTATAGAATTAAATAGATTTTTTTTTTTCAAAAAGATTCACCTCGCTCTTCTTTCAAAAGGTTGTCAGATTATTTTAAATAGCCTTGAAAATAAAATAAGTATAAATAGTTACACTTACAATATTTAAAATTTGATTATTGAATTTTATATTCTAAAATTTTGAATCATGATGATATTGTTGAAGTGAAAAGTTCTATAGGCAGCTTTGGATGGGGAGTAAATTCACGTAAGTCGTCATCGACATGGTCACGTGACGTATCAACGCTAACACTCAGAGTGCCGATAGATGTTAAAACCAGATAAATGTAAACAGTTTTAATTTACAAATTTTAATTTAACATCGAACAATTAATTTGAATATCCAAAAATAACAACTGTTTGTTTATTGTTTATAAGTGTTGGGTAAAGATAGAAAGGGTGGATGGACTACCTGGTTCGCCGTTGTCCCGCGTGGGTTCTTAAGTCGCGTTTCGTACACCAATCACTTTCACACAACACCGGGTGATTTGCTTAAAGTTTGTAATTGTAAAATAAGATAGTTTATTGCGTTTCGCACGATAACTTTGACGCGTAGTCTTAAATTTGATGGGGAGAATGCGGAGCTCGTCCCATCGCCGTACGCGGCCGTTGAAGCTTTTTTTGAGTACTACCTCCAGGTAAAGGAATATCGAGGGAGTTTAGGATGTGACGGTAGGAAGATATGTATAATGATGTCAAGTAAAGAATGTGTACCTAACAATAAGTTTTCACTGTTTTTTTGTAAATATTTTTTTTTCTAGGGCGAATATAATAACGGTCTTAAGTGCCTCGATTTACAATGGCTATAAAATATATAGGTATGTATGTATAATTGTTCTTTTACACGAATAAGTAATGAAATAAATTGATATTTCTCTCTTTACAGCTTAGATAAGAAAGATCGAGTGTAAAATATTTCCAAGTTTTTGTTTTTAATAATATCACAGCACACTTTATCTCTGTGAATGAAACTTCTAGAAAGCTGACTTTCTCCCGTTTAAGTTGCTATTTCTGTGCTAGTTTATTATTTATTAATTCAATGTTGAATTATTAGAATAAAAAATGCATTTTTAATAAATATACATATATAGAGTAGGTATTAAGATATACCCCCCCAACGTGCGTTCACCTTGTCGTGGTGGGGGGGCTCAGTAGTGCCCGGCAATCTAACCGGGCGCGAAGCTAAGAAACGCACAGGGAGGTTGCCCACTTCGGTGGGCGGTGGGAGGTGGCCCTTTTCGGGGGGCGGTGTACCATGCGGGTTGCTCCTGGTACTTCTCTGATAGCAGAGTGGACTGTGGAGCAACCCCATGGTTGTGGTGGTCTGCTTCGGCAGACCTGCCGTCGGGGCGTCGTAGTTGAATGCGTAAGCGATCCTGAGACGCCCCATTAAGACGGGGGAAGGTTTTGTTGGGTTTTAGTGGGTAGTACTGGCTGTATTACGCCGGTGAGTCCCACACGTCGTGCGTAAATGCATTTCCCAACATTAAAAAAAAAAAAAATGTATTAAGATATAAAAATATTTTTACATAGGGACGTGTAATGAAGATCTTTTGTGTTTTGAAATCTTATAAAAAAACTCACCAATAAACATTATTCAGGGCTTGGTTAAAAAATTTTTGCGTCAATTACATGTTTTATTTTATATTCTTTCATTTAAGTATATATATACCTACATATAGTAAAATTGTAACTAAGCTGAATCTGTACATTAAATATTTTTTGGAAAATCTTATTGAAAAAAACATTATTATCGATACAGAGGCCGAATCTATCGTTATTAGAATTTTTGTCTGTCTGTCTGTCTGTCTGTCTGTCTGTTACCGCATCACAGAAAAACCACTGGAAGGATTTTGATGAAATTTGGTATGGTGATAGCTGGTTATCCGGGTCAATATATAGGATACTTTTTACCGCGGAAAATGTCTCATTTCTGAGAAAAAATACAAAAACTGCAATGTAAGAGTATACTAATATGTAAAACCTAAGAATTTGGTTTTTAGTCTTCTGAACGCGGGCAGAGCCGCGGGCAATGCTAGTTATCTATATATCTTATAATATTTAAATATTTATCTAGAGGTCGAGGTCGTGGTTGAAATTATAAATAGGTAATAACGACATATAAGCTGAAATAATCACGGAACGATTTTAAGAAAAAAAATTAAAATTGCATGATTAGATTTTTGAAATTATTGCTTGTAGCTCTTTTTGTTGAATACCCACATGTCTTATAAATAAATATAGTCGAGTTTGTGTTACTTTAAAGCTGTAGTAAATAGCTGTAATTGTAGTAGTAGATGAATATTATAGGTAATGAGATTTCTTGAGTTGGTGGTTTTAGCCATAGGGGATAATATTCGAAAGTAATTTCCCAATTTCAAAACTATCTCACTGATTATTTTTGTTATCTACATTATTCTAGAGCGCTATTATATGCACGTTGTATTATATACTCCATTTACTTATCATTTAGGAACGATTTATAGTTTCTATGTGAGCCGCAGGTAAAAACTAGTTAGTAATAAATGCTTAGCTATATTTAAATATGTGTAAATTATTTAAAAGTTTAACTCACTTATCTAAAGCAAGAACTTCAGCGGCGACAAAGCAAGATCGAAGTTCAGAAGTCCTATAAGATTTAAAAATGGCCTCTCGGAGTTCTTGTTCCCGCGTGCTGTTGTCCCTGACCTCTAACGACGCTTCTTGAGATCCCCACGAGGATACCACAAATGAGCCTCGGAACGTTTGCCGGTTCAGTGGATCACCAAACAAATACATGTCTGTAAATAAATATATCAATATATTAGTCGTGTCGAATTTAAGGTATAATAAAATGCTTAATAATCAAATGTAGAAAAAAAAACATCATTTTCGTCACTTTAGTAATCCAATTTTTAATTTGCTTTGTTGTTTAATTATTCAACCGTTATATTAATAGCTAGTTTTATATTTTTATTACATTTTACTTTCTCTATTACGTATAGAGTTATTTTTAAATACATATACTACCTATTAACTGCAGAAGAAAAAAAAACAATTCCCTTTCGTGTTATTGACTGTATTAAAATATTAACCAAATGAGCAGAACAAAGTATGAGTTATTATATATAAAATACGCTAAGAAGTTTAATTAGTACGTTCCAGATAATTTTATCTTCATGGTATGTTTTATAATTCAATTTATCGAAAGAAAAGAATTTAATCTATATATACATAAAATGCTTTATCCTGACTGACTGACTGATCATTCAACGCACAGCCTAAATCGCTGGTCGTAGGAAACTGAAATTTCGCGGACATATTCCTTATACAATTTAGGCGTCCGCTAAGTAAGGATTTTTCGAAATTCATCCCCTAAGGGGGTAAAATATGATATAAAAGATTGTATGAAGCTCTGTCATTCTTGACGCGAAATGCACGAAAAGTGGTATTTAGCTTTAAGAAAAATCTTGAGTTATGATCGTAAAAAATAAATTTGTTTTCCATATATCATTAAATAATAAAACTTACACGAACTTATTTTTTTAAGTAATAAAATATCCTATTAGGAAAAACTATATTTTTTCGTAGTTTTATCGTGGGCGAAGCCGCGGGTTCTGCTAGTAATAATGGCACGCTATTTAGATGTTTATACCTATAAAGGTATAAACATCTAAATATCGTGTGACTTACACGTATGTCTAACTGTAACTGTAACTGTAACTCTGTAACTTGCAAATTGATATCATTGAATTTTTTCAATTAAAAAAAAAATATGTTTATAATATAATATATTTTTTGCATTCTGCACTTGTACTCGTAGAGTAGAGCGAATGCAAGGCCGCGTAAAGCACTGGCCTTTTCGTAGTGACGGGTTCCCGGGTAAATGTCACCGTTTGGCTTGAAAAGCTATCATATTGATATAAATATAATCTATACTAATATTATAAAGAGGTAAAGTTTGTGATCTTGTGAGTTTGTGGGTTTGTGAGTTTGTGAGTTTGTGACGTTGTAGGGGGTAATCTCTGGATCTACTGAACCGATTTACAAAATTCTTTTACCAATAGAAAGCCACGTTCTTTCTGAGTGTCATAGGCTATATATTAATCCGAATAATGAAAAGGCTTTTTCGTGGTAGTCGGATTTGCAAAGAAAGTCGGAGAAAAAACGGTCGAACGAAAACGTTTTTTACGAACGCTGCCTTAACGATGAGAGATATATGATTATGTTCTAGAGAAAAGTTGTAGAGCTTAATAATGCCTACAAAAAAGTCAGCGACAGCATATGGCTAATTTTTATATTTAAGTCACAAAAAGTAGTTTTTTATCTTAAAAATATAATTTAAATCGGTAGGTCATGTTTATTGGTCATATTATCAACAATTATGAATTCTTATCAAAATAAGTAAATTCATCGTCTAAAATGTTTAAAACAAAAGACTTTTCCCTTTTACTGCATATAATTTGGACAAATGGTTAAAGAGATAATACAACATATTCGTAGGTATGGACGAACCCGAGCGAGCTGTTTGTCTGTTTTTCTGTTTGTACGGGCTAATCTCCGAATCTATTGGACAGATTTAAATGAAATTTTGCATGGTGGTACCTTATACTCCCGTGCAATATCTTAGATACTTTTAATCCCGGAAAATTAAAGAGTACCCGTGGGATAGTTAAAAAACTATAGTAACTTATACAGCTTAGAACACAGCAACTTAGAACCTAATTTCGTAAAATTTGCCATGTTGATACCTTATAGTATTGCCAGTCAAACAACAGGTTACTTTTAATCCCGGAAAAATGAACGGTTCCCGTGGGATAGATCTGTTTGTGCTCTTCTAGAGGTGAACCCGAGCGAAGCGAGGGTGAGCCGCTAGTACATAATAAAGTGCCTTTTTAATCCTTTAAGATACAAAATTATAATAAAATATTTGGCATAATATATTACATATTATAATTAGGACGCATCGTTTAAGACCCGACGGTAAATAATAATATCTAATAAATAATAATTATTCTAGGACAAGCAGTACCTTAACTTGATATCTGTAATATTATCTAAAAGGCTTGATTGAGTAGGTATTGGGTAATGTTTCTCAAGGCATTAAATACATACATCTACTCATTTGGCGCTCAGATATGTGAGCCATTTGAAGCCAAGGATTACAAGATTTTACAGGTAGTATTTTTATGAAGAACAAAGCAAGTTATGTTGGTAAAAGTGATCTTTTTAATATAGCATTGGTACTTAGATGAAGCAAATCAAAACGAGCAAATTGCCAAAGGTATTGTTGCTTAAGTTTAGTGTAAGCTATATTCTGAGCTTATTGCCTTCTATCCACGTTTATAGGCAGCTGTCCAAGAAATAAAAGCAATAAAATTAAAGAAAACATTATATTGTGCTAAGAATGTCGGTTATTAATATAATTTAATTTTAAGTTTTATATTATGTTACTAGTATTGCCCGCGGCTCCGCCGGCGTTCAGATGACCAAAAACCAAATTCTTAGGTATTACATATTAGTATACTCTTACATTGCAGTTTTTGTATTTTTTCTCAGAAATGAGACATTTTCCCGCGGTTAAAAGTATCCTATATGTAGACCCGGATAACCAGCTACCATCATACCAAATTTCATCAAAATACCGCCAGTGGTTTTTCTGTGATACGGTAACAGACAGACAGACAGACAGACAAAAATTCTAAAAACTATAGAGTCGGCCCAGAGACAGATATCGATAATAATGTTTATTTCAATAAGATTTTCCAAAAAATATTTAATGTACAGATTCAGCTTAGTTACAATTTTATTATATGTATAGATAAACGAGTACCGACCTCCGGTCCCTTAGCTACGATCCGCGTGCATTCTTTAGCATTTTTTAAGAATCACATAAGTCACCTAGTACCTACTAATATACCTTCACTTTACAGAACCACGTAATGTACCTTGATGATACACTCTGATCAATATCTAAGCTATGTATGTCCGTGAAAAAAATAGCATCGATCGCTTACTATTTTGAGGCTAAACGAAGGTCAAATCAATAAAACAAGTCTTTACTGTAAAAAGAGTCTCCGCTCGTGTAGTTTATATGTACATCGCCTTATAAAATGAACTCATTTAAATAGTACTACCTACGATTTCTAATGAAAAAAGTATGGGTGTTTTTCCTTCATGCTGTTACGGCTGGATTTAATTTGGATAAAATTTAATAAACAGATATAGACTATGACCGTAAGTAACATAATATATGCTACTTTTAGGCACCTTGAAAAGCATCCGAGCGAAGTATAAGTCGCTACTCCTTAGAGACCAGGGTCGATAATTTTTAAAACCAAAAAAAATAATAGTAGGATGAAACCCATTAGAAAAGGAGGGGGAATATTATAAAAATGACAGGAAAAATAATTTACGGGCGATCTGAGGTCGGGAAGGGGATGGGGGTGAGTTTTTAAGGGTAAAAAATGGTTTTTCTCGATTTTCGACAAAACTAACAAACTAAAAAAAACTAAAAAACAAAAAACCTGTTTATTTCATACACTTGCTTATCATCTGCCTTATTGCAGATGATACAAACAGATTCATCCATACTGATAATCTGAAAAGACAAAATCGAATTATTAATGCCTTCACTATTTTATCGTGAGTATACATACCCCCATGAAAAAAAATATATTAAAGAAATAAATGTCAAAATGTATAAAAAATATATTATAAATATATAAAAAATCTATAATAAATGTATAAATCTATAAAAAATATGTGTAGTAAATATATTTTTAATAACTAACTTTTGGCCGATTTTCATGTATATTTCATATATTTTATTATAGATTTTTAATATATTTATAATATATTTTTTACACATTTTGACATTTATTTCTTTAATAAATTTTTTTTTCATGGGGGTATACTCACGATTAAATAGTGAAGGCATTATTAATTCGATTTTGTCTTTTCAGATTATCAGTATGGATGAATCTGTTTGTATCATCTGCAATAAGGCAGATGATAAGCAAGTGTATGAAATAAAAAGGTTTTTTGTTTTTTGCATTTTCTCAGAAGATTTACTATAGTAATATGTATATATTTTTTCACCATCGGAAAGTAGACATTTCAACGTAAAGAAAACATACCAATTTTTTGAAAAAAGCTGATATTTTGAAGGATGAATTTTCGATTAAAAATTAGGGTGCTTTTTCGATATTCATTCAAAATAAGGTGAAAAAATAAATATTTTTAATCAAATAAATTACAGCGTATTTGGGACATAAAAAGGTAAGTTTTCACCAAATTTCGTTAAAAAAAATTTTTTTTTGTAAAAGATAAAAATAAAAAACCAAAAACTTGGTTTTTTGAATTTTTCACATAAATTTTGAGGTTATGTGAAAAAAGTGTAAATAGTTTTAGATCTTTTTATTACCTACAACTTTGCCATTTGACTTTTTCGATAGGACTTTTAGTTTTGCCGGAAATCGAGAAAAACCATTTTTTACCCTTAAAAACTCACCCCCATCCCCTTCCCGACCTCAGATCGCCCGTAAATTATTTTTCCTTTCATTTTTATAATATTCCCCTTCTTTTCTAATGGGTTTCATCCTACTATTATTTTTCTTCACTTTTTATTATTTTTAAAGGCTTCTACCCTGGTCTACTAGTGAGCAATGTTGACACTATTTCTGTTCCTGATCAATTAGCCTGTGATTGCTGTAATGTCATTTCGTTATTATGTTAGAATTCTACTAACCTCATCATTCCATTATATAGTCGCTAGTCCATACTATCCAATATCCATACTATATACTAAGTATATTACTACATTTTTATATATTATTATATTGATTCCCAATACTAACTTTCATCCCCATTTTCACCCCCTTAATAAGCATTGGTGAAGCATTGATTTGTTTCATTGATTTGCACACTTTTCTGGATGTAATTAGCCCAATACCTACCCCCATGAACGAATTAGCCACTAATTCGTTCATGCTTACCCCATACTTTAATCTGACGGTTTCAAGTACGAGTATTTCTACCATATCAAAATATTTTTTACGAAATGAGAGTGACATAGGCTACTTTCTGAGATTATCTCATTCCCACGGGAAAACACGTTATAATACAACCCATTTTAAAGTTAATTGAAACTTGGTATTAATGCTCTTCAATACAATTAAATAATTATATACTTACGTATATTAGCATTTTTCGAAATTCATTCCATATGGGGTAAATGTGGGATGAAAGTTCAGTACCTTTTTAGTTTTTTTTTGTAGTTTTACGCAACAACTAGTCAACTGTTTTCGATGAAACTTTACAGACTACTTACTACAGACTAGGTACTAATTACTTATACACCAGAGTAATATATAGGCTATATTTTATAAATATGTAATTGAATTACGCAAGTTGTGCCGTGGTAATTCGCTAGTGTTATCTTACTAATATTATAAATGTGAAAGTTTAGATGTGAGTTTGGTTGTTTGTTACTCAATTACGCCAGAACGGCTGAACTGATCTGGATGAAATTTGGCACAGAAATAGATTATAGTCTGGAATAGCACATAGGCTGCTTTATATTCCGGAAAGATGTACGGTTCCCATGGGATAGATTTGTTTTTGTCTTTTAGAGGCAAACCCAAGCGAAGCGAGGGTGAGCCGCTAGTATACATTCAGAAAAAAAAGGATAAGAAGAGTGGTACCAACGGCCGAGGTAGACGGCGACGGCGGCGAGCAGCAGCAGTACGAGCAAGGACGCCATGGCCGCACAACAGCCGCGGCAGGAGCGGCTCAGCTTGCGCCGCGTGAACCTGATGTCACTGCTCACCGACATGGTGGACTCGGGCGGCCGGTGCGCGCGGCAACGACGCTGCCCACTCCGAGACCAACCATAACCTAACTAAAAAAAGGAAGATATTATTTTAAAAATAGTATTTTAACCTTCAAAAATGGAGGAGGTTCTCATTACGATGTTTATATCTTTTTTATGTATGTTCGGGCATAAGTCTGTCATATTTAGACGGATTTGCAAAATTCTTTTTTTTTTGTTCGAAAGGAGTTCATTCCGAAATAGTCCCGTTTAAAGATTTTCCCGTAGTAAAAGATGTTGACCCGAGTAATAAATTATCACTTTACTTTTATTTAGTTAAATTCCGTTCAGGACTTTTTGCGTGAATTACAAACAAACAAATATATAAACAAACAACAGACAAAAATATCAACAAGTATTGTTTTGGGGTCTATATTCCGGCTACAATATGTAACAGTTATTATTTAAAAAAAAGTAGAAACGGGGTTAACAATTATTAACATCTTCATTTTTAAGGGAAAATGCAAAATTTACTTCGAGCTCATGTATATTTACCTAATACGAGTATAAAATACCTACTCGTACAAAACAAAGTGGTTGTCTACTTGTCTGTTTCTCCGCTTACTTCGACTTGTGATTTAGAAGCACACACCGGATTTTAAAACAATTTTTACTAAACAGAGCGATAATAGAGGAAGATTTGTGTGTATAGTTAGTTTTTAAATAATTTGTACAAAACAGCTGAACTATAAAATAACTATAAAACTATAAAAACTATAAAAAACTGGTTTTGTACTCTAATACGCGGCTAACGCTGGAGAAACATCAAAACAATGTAATAGAAAATTGTAGATCTTAAAAAGGCCTACAGAAAAGTCAGCTATAGCGTGTGTGTATCTCGTACGGTATGCTCACTATAATTATTCTTATCTATTGAAAATGTTCCTGGGTCTGGTAAGTCGCTAGTCAATACTAATATTATAAATGTGAAATTGTGTTTGTTCGTCCTTGTTTCACATCAAAACAGAGGCGTGAAACTTAAAAACACGTTATAATACAACCCAAAAAATTAATTGTGATCAGAATTATTCGAAACTTGGTATTAATGCTCTTTAATACAATGAAATAAATATGTTTTAGCATTTTTCGAAATTCATCCCATAAGAGGGTGAAATAGGGGATGAAAGTTTGTATGAAACCTACCTTTTTAGAGTTTTTTGTAGTGTTATCGCGAGCGAAGCTTCGGATTTTGCTAGTAGCAAATAAAGTTACTTTATTTTATCTACTACTACAGATTATTATATAGCTTTTGATTTTTTTAATCTAATTTGTGTGACGCTATAATTCTATACAAAATGTCTCTATATTTATTTTTAACATGTATAAAGCATTCTTATTCATCAAACATTTTAAGGTTTCGAAAAGAAAGCGAAATGCCGTTAACGTTAATTTTGTAGGGCACACATGGAAAGAAGGACAACAACATCAAACCGGTTCGTCGAAAATGTCTATGCATATCTAACCATAGGTATGCGTTACTTGAAATTGATTTATTTTTATTTTTATTAGGATCTCCAACAAAAGATACACACAATATACAACATCATATAAAACCAAAAAGCAAATAAGACTCACAACACGTGTGCTCCTTCACTTATAGGAGACCACAGCTTGCTCATTAATGTATTTTATGTTATAACTAAATTTAAACTAGGAAAAAATTAACGTCTAGAAACAAAGACCTAACTACGAGATACAAAAAAAAGAAACAAATCATATTACAACACATTTAAACATTTCTACTAAAGTTACGATAAGAATTTAGTAAGACTACTTTTAAATTCAAACATATTAGTGGAAAACATATCTAATTCAACATGTTGTTTAGAAAGCGTATTGTACTGTCTACAGATCCTTGGAATAGCGGCGTGATATCTCAAATTTATATTTTAAATTAATTTAATAATAATGTTGTTTAAAAATGATTCTTGATTCCATGTCGCAAAAGTCGAAAAGACTAACATGTTTTAAGTAATGTAGAGTTATAATTATAGAGTTATAGTAAATATTTATTTCATTTGGCGATATCTTGCTTCGTCTGCTTATTGAATTTATTGTTTCCTTTAGAATTTATAATTAGATGGACGTCACGCTTCAGTTCCTATGTAAAAACTAAAGTAGGTAAAAGCTACGTAATCCATTACAAACATAACAAGTAGTTCATATTCTGTGAACTTTGTTCATAACAGAACTTATGTAATCTATACTTGGAAAAACGTAGAGCGACATATTTAAAGTTACTACATAATAATTAAATTTAATTGTAACTTTTAAATTATTACAACACTTATATAATTTTTATACGTATATTGTATGAAAAATAACTATTGTTGGCCTAAAACAACTAGGAAAAAAATTAATTACGTTCATAGTAAACTTAATTATTTTTTGTCAAATATTGTTTATCTAAGCGTAAAAATATAATAGTATTCTGTAACATAATATTGTTGTTACTTAAATATCAATCAATTTGTTTGATACATACATTTGACACAGTACCTATATGTATAAAAATAAATATCTATAATAATATATAGGTAAACAAAAAAAAGAAAGATAAACAATTTTTCTGTAACATATTAAAAATAAAGTTTATTAATGTTCCATTATAAAATTTCATTTACAACCACTAGATTGGTAGGCGGCAGCAAAGCATTGCAAATACCGACGCTCTAAATTGGTAATATTGCGGCAACAAAGTTCTTAGCAAGTCAACATTCCGCCAAATGAAAAGAATGGACGTAGATAGAAAGATTAATATCACCTTTATTTATTTCTGTAATTGCTGTAAGACGAATATTTTATTTCTATTACGAATGCTATTAAGAAAACAATACTATCTCAATTCTTAATCTTTGTTTCATTTTATTTCAATTTAAAAAAATATTATTTAAAATTATTTAGTTGAGAACTTAAAATTTCTTACGTTGTTTAAATCCATACTAATATTATAAATGTTAAGGTGTGTTTGTTTGTTTGTTTGTTTGTCTTTCTTTCACGTCAAAACGGAGTGGCGCGGCAGATTGGCGTGATTTTTTGTGTGGAGATAGTTGGAGAGCTGGAGAGTGACGTAGGCTACTTTTTACCGCGGGAGATGATCTCTTTCCCACGAGAAAACACGTTATAATACAACCCAAAATAATATTTATCATAAGAATTACTTAAAACTTGGTATTAATGCTCTTCAATACAATAAAATAAATACGCGTTTTAGCATTTTTCGAAATTCAACCCATAAGGGAGTAAAATAGGGGATGAAAGTTTGTATGAAATCTACCTTTTTCGAGGTTTTTTTATAGTTTTAGCACGAGCGAAGCCGCAGGTTCTGCTAGTAGCTTATAAAACTTTTCCAAATTTACCTCCTTTAAATTACGATAATTCTATTTTGTAGTAGGTATCCAACAAAATCATGACAGGGCATTCTCTTGTTCAATTGCCATTTAACACAAACACACCCAACAAAGAGAATATCGAAAAGTATTTGGAGTCAATTTCGTCTCATAGATTCGAGTTGAGGTGTAAACAAGGCCATAGTTAGAGGTCAAAGAGATCAGAAAATATTTATTTGTGTTTAGTATGTACGAACACTTTTTGATAGTTTTATATTATGATACTAGAGTGCGTTCCTAGATAGGTTTTAAATAGATATGAATAGTTATTGCGTGTGTAGGTACCTTAGGAGAAAGACTTATGCTATTGCAGATTTTTCTGTAGGCCTTATACACGTTTGAGGCATTAAGACCTACAATTTTCTAGTAGATTTTTTTTATGTATCTCTTAAGGTTGAAAAAGACGCGATATTATATAACCGTTTATTGTATTTGCCCGTGGTAATGAAAAGTTTTCCTGTAATAAATGGTATCCTACATGTTGACCCGATTAATAAGTTATTCTACACAAAATTTAGTAAAAATCGATTTAGTACTTTTTCGCTTTCGCTAAGTTATTGTTTTATTATATGTATATGTAGATATTAATAAAATTACTCCTAATCATGAAATTGCTAATGTTTCTCTACTATACAAAAAAAGAGAATAAAATAGAGAATAGGCTAATTATGTAGGTATATGATGATGTGTTAATTTGTACTAAGCTAAAAGATTTACAGTAACATTTTAAATTAATTATTATTTGTACTGAATCAGTAAGACTTAATTTTCTAAGCAAAATAGATTAAGAATTTGATTATCTAATTCTTAATCTATTTTGCTAAATTAATAATTATTGACGTCTAATCAATATAAAGACATACTTTAAGTATTACAGGTATTTTTTTTTATTTATATCAATAAAACAAAATTTAGTTCAAAGTATGCGTCAATTTTATAAAATATATAAGAACTATATTTAATATGAGACCCGAGCTTGGTATTTCGCTACTTTATTCACACGTAGAGCTAATGTTTACCTTAGGCATTACAGAGAAGGCATGTGCAAATTGCACTTGCCGGTGTGACCTACATCTCTCCACGTTTTGCACGCAGCGGCCGCTACCACAAAATACAAAGTCGGGCACGCCTTAGCCTTTTCGCCGGTTTCTATTGAACTCCACAACCCAAACAATGCGACCGCCTTCGCTTTCAACGGCTGTATATTAAGAATTACACCTGTTTTTTCGGTAAAATATTTGAAAGCGTTAAAAGTGTAGTTGATCTCAATATCTAACAATGCTCTATGAAAAAGTAAATAGATTAATCTATACATATATATAAATTGTAACTAAGTCGAATCTGTACATTAAATATTTTTTGGAAAATCTAATAGAAATAGACATTATTATCCATACAGAGCCCAAATCTATAGTTTTTAGAATTTTTGCCTGTCTGTCTGTTACTGCATCACGAGAAAACCACTGGACAGATTTTGATGAAATTTGGTATGATGATAGCTGGTTATTCGGGTCAAAATATGGGGTACTTTTTATCGCGGAAAAATATGTCATTTCTTAGAAAAAATACAAAAACTGCATTGTAATAGCATACTAATATGTAAAGCCTAAGAATTTCTTTTTTGGTCACCTGAACGCGGGC